AAGTGTAATAACCCGGAAATGAACATCTGTTGCAATCCTTTATTCTTACCAGATGTTACACTTTTGTATTCAAGGTGAAAAATAACACAACAGAATATTTAGTTGGTTCTTGGACTTTTGTTTGTCCCACGGGAAACGCAACATACCAAGATATGAACGAGGCTAATATATAAGAAACCAATGTTCATCAGTTAATCCCCTACAATCCTGAAGTGTTGCAAAGACATGTGTTCAAAGATTCTAAATTCACAGATCAACTACAAACATTCATAGTGAATTCTAGCACTAAAATCTTTTCAGAAGTTTTTATTGTAATGTTAATGTAGTGTCCAATCGCATTTTTATACCCAGATTTACTTTGGAAGTGAATGAAGTGTCAAATGTATTGTACTCAGATTGAGAGAATAAACTTTGTTTCTGCAAGTATTCTCGGGTGACGTTTATTTTGTTTGTATTTTAAAACAAAATACAAACAAAAGAAAGTAGCCTACATGTGCTTTGTATTTCTTCTTACTTTTGGCGTTTGTAATGTCTGTTGACAGCTCGGACTGTCCAAGTATCTGACCCGCTATTTATATAGGTTTTCCCGTTCATTAGTATCGTCGACTTAAAGGTATCTGAGCTTATGTATTTGGTTTGATTTAAAACTCAATCAGTGTTTTTCTGATATTGATGTAACGGTGTTGTCGAGCTCGAGCTCTTTTTTTCTTTCTTTTCTGTCCTTTCTATTAATCGATGTTCAACTTGTCCTTTTTATTTCAGCCCCCCCCCCCCAAAAAAACAATATGCAACGCATTGTATATGAGGCAATTCACATGCAACGCAGTGTATATGAAGTAAACGTTTGTACAGCCTAGACAGGTGGCCGTTTTAGACCAATAAAATTAAAGTATCACAGACAAGATATAACAATGGAATAATACAACTCCTGAATAAATTCCCGTCATAATATCCCCTTCGCAGAGCTGATGACAAACCGGCGAATCGACCATTTGGGCGATGTTGAGATGTTGATATTTTTGTGGTTTTTAAAGGTTGCTCTTTCAAGTATTTATGCCAAAATTCTTAATTCTTGTCTGGATTGTGAGATTCGGATCCCCGCCTGTGGCGAACCGGTCATAATAACAAATACAGAATTTGACGAATACAAAATTTCGATGGTAAGCATCTAACGTAAGGTGTGCGTTCAAAGTACCAACGAATGATGTGCTGCTGCGGTTGTCAAATATCACGTTAATGGTGACTTTTCAAGATTCAATTCATTTAGCACTTGTCTGTATTATGATCAAAATAATATTGCACGCTATATGTAAAATGCATAAGATTTTCCCTAAAAGTAAAACGAACTTCATGTAGTTGTGCGATATGTTTTCAATTGATCGTAAAAGTATTCTTCACTTTTTCAAATTACAAAATATCTCATAGCTGATCGTTTGCCAGTTAGTCGTATTACAACTCGGATTCGCGCGTGCTGTATGCAGCGCGCGCGCACGAAAGTTGTAATCCGACAAACTGACGCATAGCATAGTCAGTGGGCTATGTGGAGAATGTCCCAGTGCACCCCCCCCCCCCCTCCAACCCACCGCCACCGATATTTTGTTGATCCTTGGCATGTCTCCATTGGGGAAAAAAGATGTTAACAGTGAACATTTAGGGATGCTCTCCCTCAGGAGCCCACTTATTGGAACTGCCTCTGATTGAGTTTCGATGCATTTTCTTAGCACTTGGGTTGAAAGGGTAAGAAACAAAACGCCATAACCTGAGCAGACCTTGACCGATCTTAATCAAACTTGTACAATTTATCCACGGTGTTTGCTTGTCCGTTTCGGAACACAATATTCTCTGGGTAGTCTCAATTGGAAGCAGTGATAAATGTAAACAGTTGCTCAACCTCCGGGACAATATTATTATTTGATAGTTACATATGTTTATGTTGCATTATACCCGTATTTTTATTCCTGTGCTAATCCTGAGAGAGAGCATCCCTAAATTTTCACTGTTAACATCTTTTCTCCTATTCTGACATGCCAAGGATAAAAAAAATATCGGTGTCGGTGGGTTATGGGGGGGTGCAATGGGACCCCCATAGCCCACGAACTAAAATGGTGAAACCTCTGCTGGGGGAAACAAGTTCAAGTTTTACTACAACTTTGGATTTCTTTAACCAAGCCAAAAAGACGTGTGGTTTTAATGTGACAGGCAGTTTTGAATTATTTATACGCTGTAGGCTAGGTGTAGGGTAGAACGGGCTCTATGTGATGTATGAACGGACAAAGCAAAGTCATTGCTATAGGAGCTACAAAGAACTTTGACCAAATTAAGGTTACGGATGAGTGTTTATTAAGTGATATTGCAGAATAATCTACACACATCTCTGAATCTACTGTAAATATAATGAACACAGGCCAATACAATGAGTCGATACTGGTCAGAGTGCATTTTTCATGAATCAGCTGTGTCGAAAGCAACACCGAATAAACCCAAACACTTCCTGCAAAATCATGGCACCGAGCCCAGAACATTTATTCATGGGGGAAAACGCCAAAGCAGTCGACCTCATAGGGTATCATGGGAACATCACAAAAATGCATTGACGTAATAAAGCACCGCCATTACTGGAAATCCCTTTTTTGACAATATCTCAAAAACTGTACATGGTAATAGCGAAAGTGTGGTCTCTACACCTATGTTTTCATGGTCAATCTATACGAAGACTACCATTGTAATGTCTGGAGATGTGTAGTTGATCATGTATCATCTCAATTCACGACACTATTACCAAAACCCTTTTTTAATTTTTTTTTTAAAGATATCTCGAAAATTGTACTTGACATAACCACAGTAGGGATGTCTATACTAGATATTTTGGTCAAATATTACATTGACAACAATTCTAGTGTATAAACTGTTTACTTAACCATAAAATAATAAACCTAAATAAATTGTGACTTATGGTATTTCAATGCAGATTATATGTACATGTGTACTTATAATATGCGATTTGCAGGGCCATTGTGTCCCACATGTTTAATGACCCTATTGTACTTGTTCTGTCACCTGTGCATTACACGTCTTCTAAAAGTCTGGTTCAAAGCTGTTTTAATTAACTTCCAGCCGTAGTCTGCGGGACTTGCCCCACCAGTTGGATCAGCCTGGTCAGCCCCCTTCTAGATTCTTGCCACATACATGTACTGGGCCCTTTCGATATGATTTCCAAGTGTCTTGCATGGTGGAAGAGAGGCACAGTTTATCTCCTTTATCCTGGCAAGGGGTTCCTTCTCATTACCACCGCTCATGCTCAGGAATACCTTATATGTTTTGGTTAGAAAGTGCTTGGGTGGTATGGAGAATTGAGCAGCTCCATTTCCATTGAAATACCCTATATCTTATAGCACAGCGTCTCAACATTAGCCTCTCCTGCCCAAATCCTACTGACTGGCTTCTCTTGCCAACTCCCGTTTCTAAGAATGGCAGAGGGTGTCAGCGAGTTTCTGGCACCTGCAGTCGCTCCGGGTAGGTGGAACTCGTTTGCCTTGTTTGGTAATCTGCCTAGGAGAAGGACAACTCTGATTTCTACGGTGGCCCTGGAACTACATTTTAATATTGACCTTTTTAATGTGAACCTTGTAACTTCTTAATATTGACGTTGTACCTTCGCAATATGCACGTTGCACGCGGCTTAATAAACTTGTTAATGTTCACGTTCGATCTTGTCAATGTACACCATTGATCATGCTTGATGTCAACGTTGCACCTTGCTAGAGCATGTGCTTGCTGTACTTAGCCAGGGAACTGATTGCTGATCCAGTCTGCATAAACATTCTTTATTGATTCTGATAAAATCTTATTCTAACTACATCGAAACACTTGATGTACTTAATGCACAGAGGCTTTGAGATAGTCTTTTTAAATTACATTAAGCTATGATGAATAACCTGAAGGTAACATTCAGTAATCGTGTTTTGTATCTTTGTGTTAAAGGGATATTATGGCCTGGAATGCGCCTAATTGGGCTACAAAACGTGTTTTAAACGTAATGATATTAATTGGAAAGAACATTTAAATGTAGGATATAAAATTCCACACTACCATTGTTGGACGTTTATGTGTTATTCTTGCAGTGCCGCGCGAGAAGGAATATCAGGTGATTATTTAAGTGAAAAATCTCTGAAAAATCGAGCTGTTTGGGTGAGAGTCGTTTCTCAAAAACGTGTGTGTTCATGGGTTGAATGATTGACTTATTTGGGTGAAAAAAAACACCGCTATTGTTTCAGATTAATCAAGTCTGTTGCTGTCATCGTGCCGAGAAAGAGCATTATTTACGGCTGGAAATACGTGCATGTAGGCTATGCTACAAAAATGTCTGCTGCGTCCGATGTAAACAACCGGTTTTTCCGTCTTTTCTCGGGAACATTAGACATTAGGTTTGTTTCCTTTCAACCAGACCTTTGAAATAGGATAAGTAAACAATCCGAGACTCAATGTTTTCGGGGGTTTCAGGCCGTAATACACCTTCAATTTACTGTTATTTATAGCATTTAGGGTATTTACAATTAGAGAATAACAGTGTGATTAGCTATTCTTTACTGCGTGATAATGACCGTGTTTGGGGATGGCCGCTGTAACAGAGCCGAAGCATGCGTTTTATAATACAGCTGTGCAAAACTTGCCTTTGAAGTGGATGCAGTTACGAACTGAACTTGCCTTGCTGATTTTTTGGCATTGTTTTACGAACTTACAATATCAGCTTTCATATTGTTAATGGTTTGACTTTTAAACCTTTGTTAACCTTGAACAAGCTGAACAAAAAGTAGTGGATATAATACAATTTGTAAATTGTTTCACTTCTTAAGTTTTATCCTCCAAGCGAATGACAAAGATCTCATTGGATGTTATATGAAACATATAATGATTTTTTTTTTTGTATTCGTGCAATGATGAGAATATTTTCATTCGGTGGATGTTCCATTCAACTTTGCCTCGTTGAATGGAACATTCCACCATTCAACTCATGAAAATATATTCTAACCATTGCACTCATAAACATTCATTATTTGTACACCATTCCATAGATGAAATAAGCATATCTAATCAGCAAAAACAGCATTGTACATAGCTTCAAAATAAGTTTTGATTTAGAAAATAGATATTTGCTTTTGTTCTAAGATTCTGAATTATTATTGGTGATCTGCAGTCTGAAGAACATACGGTAGCCAGATCTTGATAGTTAAGAAGGCTCTATTTTTATAGTATCACTGGGAAACTATAGGCCTATCACGTTTCTTCAGCGTAATAGCAGAACAACCAATATACACAAACATTTTAGAAATTAATTCATCTTCGCCCTGCCTTCTTTCAATCCTCGAGTTGACTTAACCAGCGTTACGAAGAGAAGCAGACACCACGCCTTTCTTTGCTTTGGTAAACTCTCATTTGTCATCAAACTCGGGGCGAATGGCGCTCCAATTGATATACCTGATGCTGTCCATCGCCATATACGTCTGCGAAATAAAAGGGGAAACATTAACCCTTGAATAATCTTGGCGTATTGATCGTTGTTGCCAGAGTACTTCTCAATAAAGAGAGGGGCACTATTTTCAGTATTTTGAAACCTATACAGTTGAAATGCTCGAAAATGCCTTCGTGAAGACACTGGCTATTTTGCGTACTGGGTATGGTAAGGGTCTCTTTTTTTTAAGTCGCATGTGTTCAACTGTCATCCATGCGCAATGCTGTAATCATCATTTAAAAAAAAAACAATCATACTCCTCACGTTCAAAGGTTATCCAATCAATGGCCTTAAATGGGAACTAGCTCCCGGTCCCCATATTTTATTGGAAGGGGGGGGGGGGAGGACAGGGACAAGTCTAGAAACACATATCTATTACTCCCCAAAATGGCGTCGTAACAACGCCCTCATTCGTTAATTATCGACTTTCCCGCATTTTCAAGTGGCAACTTTCTTTTCATCGGGAAAAGGAACATGTCTTCAATATAAACTAAGCAGGATATCAAAATATAAACCAACAGTCAAGTTGGAATCGCAACATGGGGTAGCAAAGATTATGGGTATTTTTGATAATGAACACTGGTCTACCACAGACCTCACGGCGCAGCTAAGGTACGTTAAAATCTGCGGTTCGTTTTCAATGGATTTCTAATGATTTAGGGTTGATTTTCTGTTCTGCTCTGGCTTCGTGAGTCTAATTGATCTTTAATAGTAGAACTCCTTAGTAAATATAGCATTCAGTACAGCTACTTTAGTTAAGTTTTTAGATAAAGTTACGAGTGCTTATTTTTAGGTGAAGTCCAACTCACACTATTGGTGTTATTCAATGCCATGCCACTCAAGATGGTGACCAACTCGGTGAAGGTTGGCCTATTATTAGGATCCTCGTCCCAGCACTTGTGCATCAGAGCATAACTATAGCAAAAGAACCAAAAACAAACTGTGAGTGGAAAGGCTGATCGGTTATTCGTGCCATTTTCTAAAATTCAAAAATCAGTCTGCCTACATTGAAATGAATTGAATCCAACTTTTTTTTTCTTTCGTCTGATCCTCACCCGATCATCGTCATCGCGCCTATGATTTAAGTACATGTTTAAGAGAAAAATCAATCAATATATAGTTTAAAGGCAAGTCGTCTGTTCCAAACTACATAACTTTATTTTGAAAGTGAAAGTTCTATTGAATGTGTGATATGTCAATGTTAGTACGGACGAAATTCTTGCATAGGTCTATCCTTAAGGCTTACTTTCAAACATAGCCATACGCAATGTCATTAAATCCTAACCGTCGTGTTTTAATTATCAGTATTTTAATTCTTTTTATTGACAATTCTTATAAAAAGGGCTGAAATGTACTGAAGAGAAAGTGCTACTTGAACCAGGAGCAACGGTCGCTTGCCCTTGTTACACCGAAAGTACACACCTTCTTGTTCCGTAATTGTGGGGACCTACACTCGTCTGTGCAAGGTATTTGTGGGGACCGAAATGCTATGGGGACAGCAGAAAGTCCCCATAACTCGGTCCTAATTTGCCTAACAATAAAAAAACTTCCCCATGACGCTGTGTATGCCTACTCACCTGAGCACAGACATATAATACGTGCTGGACACGACTAAACCGAAAGGATACACAAACGACCCATATATATCATTGTTCAATGAAGAACCATACACTTCGCAATGGATGAGATGATCAGCACAGACGATGCATTTATTCTTTACGATCGTTAAACAAGTACATTTACCGATCAGTGAGTAATATTGTTACTTTCCTTTTAGAAAGCTAAATTCTGTTCTTCTTTTGGAAACCTTTTACACTGTTCTTAATACCTGTGGTCATCACAGTTGCTCGGCTTAGCCATGCGGTATCCTTGCAGCAGCTTTCCGGGCAAAGAATCGCTGTCAATGGTCGGGTAGGGAGTTCCCCCTTCAAAAGAAAGCAATCACACGAGGAGAGATTTATAAAGGAGAAATTGTGTTTATTCGAAGTGTTATGAATGATTCTGATAATGTTCAGCCAGTCCGTAAGACAGGTGCCAAAATAGGCTTGCCTTCTGAGACCAGCAACAATTTTAGTAGATGATACAAAAATTAACGTTGTCCCTGAAAATGTCTACGTGGTCACAGCTATTATGAACTCCTGTTTGTTTTGTAGAAAACTAATCTGTGTAATTTAATATTGTTCAATGTTAAAACTCAATGTATAGCCTATTATGAATGTTATTATGATTAAATGGAAAATGATGTTTCTCTGTTTACTTTATTTCATTATTCTATCTAAGTATTTAGGTGGTATACAAATCCCATTGTTCATAATATTGGGTTGTAATAGCTTACCAACAGTGGCTATTTCCCACAGAAGTATTCCAAACGACCACCTAAGTGAACAAAATAAAACTTAATTAATTAATTAAAAGGTATTCATTATTCTTGGCTGAGAAGGGAGGAAGCAGGCACAAATCCGAATGAAAAAAAATAATCAATAACATAATCTAAAAAAATCCAGCGCAGGAGGTAGGGCACCAAGGGCCAACTTCCCCCTCCCCCCTGCGCATTTGATGGCGTCATTAAACAATTAAAAAATGACAGTATTTTTGAGAGGGCCTTCAGACTGTTAATTCATACGTCGATATAGTCATTTTACCCACCCTGACACAAAAAGCTGGATACGCTACTCGTCTGCAATACACGACAGAGAAACAAACTTACACATCACTCTTGGTGGTGTATGTATTGTGCCTGACGGACTCGATTGCTAACCAACGAAGGGGAACCCGCTTCTGTAATTTGGAAGAAATACACAGATGGTACCTGTCAGAAAGATAGACACCGCATTGAACGAAGAAGGGCGGTTACCATTCTCTGGGTGGCTTTGACCTGTGATTCCTTATATTCTGCTTACCATTTTTCACACTGCATTTTAATTTTGTGTACATTTGTTTACATTTTGTTTAAATGCTAAGGTGAACAATAGGTGTGTAGCATAGCCTTCAAGTCTGATGGAAAAAGACTGCCATGCATCTTGTACAGAACTGTTGTAGCAGCCACTTGACGCCTATGATGAAGAGATGGAAAGTTGAGATTCACTCTTGCCTCCTGTTCGGCCACACCGATGATGCGGAGAGCTTTTGGATTTTATCGAGGAGCCTATATAGATCAAGTGTGATGGTGGAAGCACTTATCTAGCATAGAGATGCGTATTCAAAACACTGCGAACCTGTGCCTTGTAGATATTCGCTTTTCTTTTTCATCCAGCTTGTTAGCAACATCTCCTTAAAGCTCCCAGCTTCTGTCCAGCTCTAGCAGAACAGTTGGGAATGTGCTTTGCCCAAGTGAGTTTCTTACAACTGTGACACCCAAGATTTCCAGCTCATCTTTCTCAGCTAGTCTGGGTTCCTCTTTCTGAAAATTGTAAGGGCATTGCACTTCGTTGGTTCGAAGACCACGCTTCATCTGTCTGCCCAGATCCTCATTCTGTCCAGGTTCCTATTCAGGCTAGCTGTTATATATGGCCTCAGGGTCATCACCTGATATAATCTCGCAGTAGAGGGTGGAGTCATCCGCATATAGGCACAGTGTGTACCCGCACTCATCTCCCAGATCATCTATGAAGACGGAGAACAGAAATGGGCCCAGCGTAGATCCCTGGGGGTACAGACGCAATTATCGAAGTTGTACACGAGGACTGGCTGGCCAGATAGAACCACTATGATGGATATTATGTCAATCTAAACAAGCAATTTGCCAGAGACTCCTTTTCCCTTGAGCTTCGAGCAGAGGCCGCGTCGTGCCGCACTCTGTCAAATGCACCTATGATGTCCAAAGCTATAAGACGCACTTCATAGCCTCTGCCCAGTGCATTAGACTATAGCTGAGAAAGTATTTTAAGAATGTTGCCTGTGATATGGTGGGGTCTAAATCCAAACCGTCTGCCTGATGTAAGTTGGCTTTGCAGCAGGTATTTTTGAAGTTTAGTCTGTATAACCGCCTCCATAACCTTGCTGATGTTACTGAGAAGAGAGATGGGACGGTTTATAGATACGTGGATCAGATTTCAAGTCCCTCCTGTATATCAGTATAACCGATGCAGTTTTCCATTGGCCTGGAAATAATCCATGTGAGAAGCAGAGCTCAAAAAGATGGCTGGGTGGTCTGGCTAGTTTATGTAAGTTTCTCAGGAGCCTTTAATATCTTTGGGTTTAAAAGATACTGTCCTTGGAGGTTGTTGTTGTCGGCTGAACCTCAGGTACAGGCTCCTCTGCATCCTCTAGCTGACATTTCTTTGCAAAGGTCTGGACCAGTTTTATCAGCTTTCCCATTGGCTGTGGTGTATACTAGGTTGTCTTCTTTTAGGACTGGTATATGGTTTCTTGTTACTCTTCCAGACAAGGTATTGACTGTATTCCACCACTTTTTACTACTGAGGCTGCCGTCTGAAATTTTTTTTTTGCTTCTTTCTCTCTCTCTGATTGTATTCCTTTCTACCTTCTGCAAACTTGTCCCTGTTTTCGTGAGTGTTTTTATCTTCCGTTTCCTGAAGAAGCGGCGCTTCTTGATTGGTGCTCTTTTTGCAAAGATCATTGAACCATGCATACTTTGTCTCGTGTCTTATTGGAAACAAGCTTGCTAGGGATATAGATATCCATTGCGTCACAGATGATGTTAGTGACATATAGCTACAAGCCTCTTCTGGGTCAACGCGTTTCAGATATAGGTACGAGTCCAGAGAAGAAAGGTAGCTTCTCATACCCCAGTAGTCGGCCTTGTCGTATCGCAGCACCTTCCGTCTGTATGTGATGCTTGTCTGTGTAGAGAGGGACATCCAGCTTAACTAAGACAGGATTGTGGTCTGATGTTCCCAGCCTTGGAAAGTGTTGTCGAGGTGGATTCCAGATCAGTCAGAACCAGGTCGAGAATCTGATCTTCCCTCGTTGGTTGAGTAACTATCTGAGTCACTCCAAGAGAGTTGCATAGCTCACGAGTTCGACGACCAGCATTATCTGTAGAAGTAGAACCGCTGTTTGGGCACTGAATTTGAAAATCATTAGCAAAGTGGTTGAGTCTAGCTAGGTAGCTGATAATGTCACCATCAGGCGCGGTTCTAGAACCAATATTTTGGGGGGGCTAGCACGGTGGATCCAGAATTTTTTTCAGGGAGGCGTGCTGAAATGTTGACCGGTTATTTTTCCCAGACACTTAGGCCTCCGAAAATCAATAAGGGGGGGGGGGGGGGGGGGGGGGGGGGGGGGGGGGCTCTTGCCATATTTTCAATGGGAAGCGCCAATAAAATCCTAAAATCATTCATAATATATTAACTAATGCACCCTTGTCACTGCTATTTCTTCTTTTGGGGAGACCGTTCGCATGTACATCACAATCATTCTTTTTGCTAATGCATTTTTTTTTACGAAATTTATTTTGGGGGGCTAGACAAAATTTGGGGGGGGGGGGGGCTACAGCCCCCTAGCCCCCCCTGTAGAACCGCGCCTGGTCACCATTGGCACTTGGTGGTCTGTACATGGCGACAAATAGGACCTTCTGCGATCCAAGAACCACTGAAAACCACATGAATTCCAAAACTCGGGATCAAGATCTCTGTCATTGAAGAATTCCTTCCAAGCTGTAGACAACAATTCTTCCTCCAAATGTGTTGGGTCTGTTTCTGCGACAGCAAGGTGAGTGGAATGGAAACTGTAGTAGCATCCAGAAATGTTTCCACAACAGCAACAAAAGATAGTTTCAGTTCATGGCACAAAGGCCGTTTCATATTCGGCGCGAAAGCGAACGCGTACGCGAATTTGTGACGTCAGGGTTTTTTTCGCGCTTCGAATTCGCAAAAGTTGAACATATTTCAACTCTGGCGAATTTCGCAGCGAATGCTTCGTGACTTCATATTCCCATAGCATTTGCATTTGCATGAAGTATAAACCGACCTTAACCCGTGACAACATATAATGGTCATGTGAATAAATGAATACATACCGATGACATCTGCACGTAGACATCTTCCCCTCTAGACAGTCCAAAATCAGAGACCTTCGCAACCAACGCTTCTCCAACCAGAATGTTTCTCGCGGCCAAATCACGGTGAATCACCTTTCAAAAAGAACGATAAGAAATCATCGATGGATCGGTCAGACAAGCCCCGACCCTGTAAGCACGTAGGCAACAGCACCGTATCACATAGACGCGCGCGTATAGATCCGGTTCGTTAGTAAAAAGTCATACACGCGCGCGCACCACTGATAACAAGCGCTCATTGGATAAACGATCGAGTTGCGTTAAATTCCGGTTCCATTTGTGCTAGGCAGTGCAACACCGTGTGAAGTACGCATAGTTGAATTGAGATGACGTCACACTAACGAACCGGATACGCGCTTGTAATCTGTCAAAATGTCATTGGGCAGGGCTTAAAAGTATACAAATATTGAGTGGCTCAGCGTGGAATGGGAGAAACATTATCGCAAGGTAAAATCTGAACTTTTCCATTTCACGAGGCAAAGCCGAGTGAACTGGAAAAGTTCGGATTTTACCGAGCGATAATATTCCTCCCATTTCACAATTTAAGGCCACTCAATATTTGTTTTATATAACTGACATGTGGATCCTTTTCATTTGATATATTTGAACTTTTATTTCAATACAAAACTGGAGGAAAATGTATTTCTCTCTTCAAAACCACCCCTTCACGAAAATGTTTGAACCCAACGCTGTAGCGCTGGCTCTTTGGAACAATACGCGCTACGCGCAATGCTGAACGCGCACACCAGCGTGCATTTGCACACAAATACCGCGTCATGATCCTAACTGTTCAATAGTATTTCCCATTCCCCATGGGCGGATAGTACTTTTGGAGCCGCAGCGTGAATAGGAGCAATAATTATATAACCAACATACAGATCCTTGTCATTTGATTGGTGGAACTCACATCACGTGACATTCGTCATTACTCCCATTCACACCGGGGCTCAATAAGTCCCATTCGCCCGTGGGGAATGGGAAATACTATTGAACAGTTAGGATCATTCTTGTTCAATGACGCGGTATTTGTGTGCAAATGCATGCTGGTGTGCGCGTTCAGCGTTGCGCGTAGCGCGTATTGAGAGGGTGCTACAGAGTTGGATTCAAACATTTTGCGAAGGGGTGGTTTGGAAGAGAGAAACACATTTTCCACCAATTTTTTATTGAAATAAAGGATCAAGTATATCTAATGACATGGATCTATATGTCAGTTATATAAAACAAAATTATATGAGTCATTGAGTGGCTTAAAATTGTGGAATGGGTGGAATATTATCGCTCGGTAAAATCTGGACTTTTCCAGTTCGCTCGGCTTCGTCTCGTGAAATGGAAAAGTCAAGATTTTAACCTTGCGATAATATTCCTCCCATTTCACTCTGAGCCACCCAATATGTGTATACTGGCACTGCAGAGTTGAGTTCAAACATTTTCGTGAAGGGGTGGTTTGGAATAGAGAAATATATTTTCCACCAATTTGTATTGAAATAAAAGTTTAAGTACATCAAATGACATGGATCTATATGTCAGTTATATAAAACAAATATTGAGTGGATTTAAATTGTGAAATGGGAGGAATATTATCGCTCGGTAAGAACTTTTCAAGTACACTCGGCTTCGCCTCGTGAAATGGAAAAGGCCCGATTTTACCTTGCGATAATATTCCTCCCATTTTACTCTGAGCCACTCAATATTTGTATACTATTATCTGAGAAAGAAAGCCTGATACATATACCTTTTATTTTCTCACTGAAAAAAAAAACACATTCAGGCGGAATGAATGTATCACCAGGCACAAGGAACAGAACATCGACTTACCCCCGCTTGAGCAAGGTGTTCCATTCCCTTGGCAACATCCAGAGCAAACTGGACCAGCTGACCGGAAGACAAGGCATCCTCGTCTGAGTCTGACTGTGAGCGAGCCGTCCGCAGGTAGCTGCGCAGATCGCCGTAGGGAAGATATTCCAAGGCGACGTACAACACATCTTTGTAAGATATCAGCATAATTGAGAGGTCAAAGAGGAAGTGTACAGAGTATCCTCTGCCCCAATTTGTTCAGTTTTATCTTACGGAACACGAGAAGGAGTTTCGTATTACATGTAAATGTATATTTAATATGTAGCAGTTTCATAAGCAAAGCAACGATGATTTGTTTGGGTAAAATGTAAACGCAAATTTTTACTTTCATTATCCAGAAAGTAATGTCAATTAACCAGAGATTTACAAATGAAAGGTGAAGTTTATTGAGATCTACATGACTCATACTAAGTCAATGTTGAGAATAAAGTAGTCCACATTTTCTAAACATCATTTAAAAATAACTGTTACAAAAACACAAAGTAGCCTATGTTTACTTAATACTTTTGCACAACAAGTTACGGTGTTCTGTGGAGTTTAGACTCCTATGGAATCTGTTCTATTTCACCTTAAATATCTCCACTGAGTCATGTGCAATGCAACCAGGGAGTCCGTATTTCATAGAGTGCACATTTTACATTACACCTCCTCAGCCTGTAAGAAATATTAAACTTTCAGAGACACTTTAAATTATGTGGCCAATAAAATGTTTCCTCTAAGGCTAACCCTGTTGCCTTTGCTCGGAGAATGAACATTAAATGTGTGGTGGCATTACCTTGATGCTTGCATGCCCCGAAGAGGCAAACGATATTAACATGATGGCCGATAGAGGACATGGTCTCCAACTCTTGCATAAAGTCGTCCTTTTCAGAACTTGACGATTGCTCTAAATAACAAAAAAATAAAATTCAACTTTCTGAGAAACTCGGCTATTACATAATAGAAAGGGGTGTCCACATCATGCCCAGTCATAGCCATATACTTACACCTCAGTTTGTGGCGCCAGGGAGAGAAGTGTTGCTTAAGGTAATATCCAAGCCTAAAGCTATGCAAATTAAAGTCTCTAAAAATTATCCATTTATTTTTGCTGGTCCCAGAGAACCAGCCTCGTTTTCTCTTCCCCCTATCTTGCGCACTGACTTCATGACTCACTGACTGTCACTTGTGAGCTGGGCAGTGCTATCGTATAGGACCCCCTAATGCCAACGAATGGGCTAGACGGCCTATTGTGTAAATCTAATTACAGGAAAAACATTTTAAGTGAATAACCATTCTGAATCAATTGGGGAAAAAATACTAAATTCGTTCGCTGTGGAAAGTACCAGGCTTGCCTGGCTTTGTTGGAGAGTAACTCATGCTACCTTTGATCATTTTGATGGCCGCTCGGGTCACCTTGCCTCCAATCCTGACGGCCCCTGATCTGACTTCTCCAAAGTTCCCTCTTCCCAGTACCTCATCATCCAGCAACAGATCGCTCCATAGGATCTCCCACGGTTGAGCCCAGCTCGGGAGACCACCCCCCTTTGATGCCAGATCACGTTGTCTGATACTCTCGTAAGAGACCGCCGCAGCCTGTGCGATCCTGTCTTCGTATGATGTTACGAGCTGGAAAACAATACGGTCAACATCTTAGCAAAGGCTGCGAAGCACCAAACATCGGATCGTGCAAAAGTAAATAGCAAGAATCAGTGCTCAATATCGTTGATTACTTACCCAGCTTTCTGAGACGAGCTCTATATTAACAGCAAGATGTCTGATTGCACGGACTGTACAAATTAGAAGGACGCAAGGTGCGTCCGATTTAGGTTGCATGGGAGAATTATTATATTTTGATCGAATGGGGGTCTATAGAAAAATCCATTTCAATGGCAAAAACAAGCTTAATATTTTTTTCCGCTCATTAAACACCGAGTTGTTGATCAATATTAACTTGTATTTAAAGAATTATAAAATGGAAATAAATGTGGATGAATAAATTAAGAAACAAAATTTTTTGGGCAATTTTAAGCTACCTGTCCCCACATATTAAGTCCAAAGGACAATGGAGAGTCAGGGAACCAGTCTACCCATATTATATCTATGTTTGAGAAACACACCGATCAAGTGTGATTAACAGGTGCTTCCTGCAATGCTTTACCGCATGCTCCAGCAGCACGCGTCATACGCGCGTGCACGCAATGTCGGACATTTCTTGCACGCATGTCGGACATAAATCACGGCTGTGATTGGTCATAACACCTTGTGCCGACGTTGGCAACGTGCGCAGTGGGTGGGGCTGCAGAGAAGTCCCCAGTCTAGACTCACCATTGCAACCGCTGACTCTGCCGCTTCCGTGCTAAGCATTGCGTTCTGTGTCACCGATGCCTGTCCACGATTTCTCTTGAAGCTCAGAAGAGCGAAGACAGCGAGCGCGACTACCGCCATGATCAACAAAGCCACGACGACACATACAGCTACAACTGCATTGCTTATACCAACACTCCCATCTAGGTTACTCTCTGTCAGATGGGTATGAACAATAAATGCAGTTGATTTCTAATTATAAACAAGAAAAGGCACACCTTCAGAAAATGTCGTGCTATGCTAATAATCTAAACGGCTTTATAGACTAAACATGTGGGAAATAAAGGTGAGTCCAAAAGTGTTTCTATAACCACCATTTTTTAATGTGTTGTCCAGTTAGTCCGAAAGTGAAAGTGCATTTTTAAGCTTTGGAGGAGCTTAAACATGTCACTTGTTTTCGGTCGGTCGGATGGTCTATCTTTCTGTCTGTCCCGAAAATTTGACCAAAAGTATGGTGTTCCATGTGTGCTATCGGCGTCGCAGTTTTGCGCCAGAGCTTATTGTGCACTTGCACTTGTTTTTTCATTGATCTGAAATGACTATTCACCGGATCTCTTTGATGCATGATTTATTAAGGGTAATCCAATACGATGCTAATGTTCGGCTGTCTTCACCAATCTACAATCAGTCACAAGTGACAGTCATGAATAGAGTGGAGTTGACGGGAAAATACATAACAAACTGAAAAAATATAGTTACTTTGGCAACTCCCTGTAGCCTCGTCCACATTGAATCCATCCTTGCAAATGCAATCGTAACCGTCAAGCAAGTCCACACAGACAGCGTTAGCATCGCAGTCGTTCGTCGAGTCATCATCGCATTCGTTTATTCCTGAACAGTGTATAAAGGCGATACTTTTTGTCAAATAATCTCTATTCCAACCAGTGAATGTGACATTAATATTAATATATATACCTAACTTTGTTCGCAATCCCCGAAAAATATCGCAGTTATAGCAAGCTTGTTCACATACAGGTTAACGTGATTTTAAGCTCTGGCATGCTGGAGCTTATGCGTTTCACTTGGTGGTCGGTTGGTTGGATGGTCCGTCTGTCTGTCTGTCCCGAAAATTGACCAAGAGTATGGTGCTCCATGTATGTAATCGGCGTCACATTTGTCGCCAGAGCTTATTGTGCAATCGTGCTTGTTTTTCAATGATTCAGAATAACTATTCACCGGATCCCTTTCATGCATGCTTTTTTAGGGGTACTCCTATACGATGCTACTGCTCGGATCTCTTCACCAATCTACAATAAGTCACAATCGACGGGGAGCAAGACAGTCAGCAAGACAGTCAGTCAGTCAAACGAGATGCTTCTCGTGTAGTGACATTGTCAATTGGTCACGTGGTGAAATCTTCAATATTGTCAAGTCTATATAACCTAAAAAATTCGAGGTGCAATTATGTTTCAACTGTCAATGTAATACACCTTTCGGAGTAATGACATCGCAAGCAAAATCATAAAACTTGTAGTAAACTAATCTTGGAGCTATATGAATGAATAAAATCCTCTTCTATATACATTACAGATGACACTTTAAACCACTAAACGCGTAGTTCACGAAAAGAGTGGAGTTGACGGGAAAATACATAAACTGAAAAATAGTTACTTTGGCAACGCCCTGTAGCCTCGTCCACAGTGAATCCATCCTTGCAAATGCAATCGTAACCATCAACCAAATCCACACACTCGGCGTTGGCATCGCAATCGTTCGTCGATTCATCATCACATTCGTTTATTCCTAAACAGTGTATAAAGACGGACAGAATTGTGCAATTTATGATAAAAGCTTGAAACTTGGCATGTGAAGTCTTCACACCATAACAATTTTTTTTTTAGATATGGAGGTTGTTCATATCTGACCCCTGGTGACCTTTAAGGGGTCAATGACCTTTGAAATCTCTATTTATACCTATTGTTCTTGAAAACATCACTTTCATATGATCTTAGTCAATGTATAGTTTTCATACAATGTAAATAACGACCAAATGCGGACAAATTTCACAATTGACTCTGATGGCCTTCCAGAGGTCAACTACCTTTGTATTAACTGCACTAACTCTGTTTAAAGTTATTTTTACGATTTACCCATTTAAACCCCAACGTTTTCAAGACCCAAGTCATAATGGTAAGTTGCTCATGCTATGAAAAGAGTTTCCTATGAAGGGAATCTCATGTCTGACCTCTGTTGACCTTCGAGGGGTCAATGCACTTTGTGCATCCTATTGAAAGATAATAAGAGGAGTAATTAACTATTCAAAACACCACTTTTTTACCCATATCTAAATTGTGGGTATTCTTGCCATGATATTAATTTTCAATTATGTAGACATTTCTACAAAACGTCATGAAGTCTTGTCCCAAAGATTTTTTTCATGACCTCCGATCTCATTTTTCCTTTTAATAAGGGAAGACGCATCACTGATAGCACTAACAGAATTCCATGCTATGCAAATAATCCAAACGGCTTTATAGACTAAATACATTATAGAGGACACTTAACCGCTAAACGTGTAGTTCACGAAAAGAGTGGAGTTGACGGGAAAATACACAACAAACTGAAACAAATATACTTGTGCAATTCCCTGTAGCCTCGTCCATATTGAATCCCTCCTTGCAAATGCAATCGTAACCATCAACCAAATCCACACAGTCGGCGTTGGCATCGCAGTCGTTCATCGAGTCAGTATCGCATTCGTTCATTCCTGAATAGTGTATATTAAAAAGACGATACTTTTTGTCAAATAACCTCCTTTCTAAGCAGTGGTTGTGACATTAATACACAAGTTACATCCCCTACTTTGTTCCCAATCCCCGAAATTATCGTAGTTATAGCAAGCTTGTTCACGTACGAACAATAAATACTGTATGAAAAAAAAAAAAAAGAATTTGTGATGAAACAATTATGTTTCAACTGGCATTGTTACACCTTTCGAAATCACATTGCAGGAAAATCATAAAACTTGAAGTGAAATAATCTTGCAGCTACACGAACGAGACAAAATCCTCTTCTATATACACTATAGGGGACACTTTAACCATTTAAACGCGTAGTTCGCGAAAAAAAGTGGGGTTGACGGGGAAATATACAACAAACTGAAGAAAAACAATGTTACTTTGGCAACTCCCTGTAGCCTCGTCCATATTGAATCCATCTTTGCAAACGCAATCGTAACCATCATCCAAATCCACACATTCAGCGTTGGCATCGCAATCGTTCGTCGATTCATCATCGCATTCGTTCATTTCTGAACAGTGTATAAAGACGATACTTTGGTCAAATAACCTCTATTTCAAACAGTGGTTGTGACATATTAATACAAAATTGATATCCCCAAAGTTGTTAGTCTGGTTCCCAGACCAAAAGATTCCGACTATTCCTGATGAATCTTAGGTCAGGTAGCCTCCGGTAATGCAATGTATTACAATATACATCACGTGACTAAAACGGCAGGAATTCCTCCTTTTTCCGAAACTGTCCGAAGTTTGCCGAATTCATTTCGTCGACAATCGGATAGTGTCCGAGTATTTCCGAGTATAATATAGGTTTTATTAACTGCTAATTGCTTATTAAACACTTTAAAAAACTAGTTGATGATTAATATCCATTGCTTTTATTTAGAAAACTTGAAATTCAACGACGATTTTGCACTCGGATTGTATACGAGGGGCGAACTTTTTGCTGAGTCATGAACTAGTTTGAATTTGACGACTGTTACCGGCATTTTCTAAAACGCGGCGTGGTCTCAATTCGGCTCCGCCTGCTAACAGTGCTGTTTGGGTGTCCAACTTTGAAGATTCCAGGTTAAAATAAGTCAATTTTTTTGACAGAAGTATTTAACTGTATATCATAACTGTATGATATATGAAGCAAGTGATTATTTTTAAAAAAAATTATCGGAACATTAAAAGCTTCGGAAACGTAGTCGAGCTTTGAAAAAGGGCCGTCAATGTCGTCATATTTATTTTTAGCCACGGAGGCTGCCTGACCTACAATTTAGACTTGTAGACGTCGGGGGAAATTGTCAGGTCGGGGAACCAGACTACAAAGTTGTGTGCGATCCCAGAAAATTATCACAGTTATAGCAAGCTTGTTCACGTACGAACAATAAATGCAGCATGAACAACAAGTGTGTTGTCCAGTTTCTCCGAAAGTGCAATTTTAAGGCCTGGAAGGAGCTAAGACATGTAACTTTGTGGTCGGTCGGTCAGATGGTCTGTCTGTCTGTCTGTAAATATCCCGAAAATTGACCAAAAGTATGGTGTTTCATACGTGCCATCGGCGTCGTATTTTGCGCCAGAGCTTATTGTGCACTCGCACTAGTTTGTCAATGATCCAGAATGACTATTCACCAGATCCCTTTCATGCATGTTTTATTAGCGGTAATCCTATACGATGCTACTGTTCGGTTGGCTTCACTAACCTACAGTCAGTCACGAGTGGCGGGCCAGTCACGAGTGGCGGGCCAGTCACGAGTGGCGGGCCAGTCACGAGTGGCGGGCCAGTCACGAGTGGCGGGCCAGTCACGAGTGGCGGGCCAGTCACGAGTGGCGGGCCAGTCACGAGTGGCGGGCCAGTCACGAGTGGCGGGCCAGTCACGAGTGGCGGGCCAGTCACGAGTGGCGGGCCAGTCACGAGTGGCGGGCCAGTCACGAGTGGCGGGCCAGTCACGAGTGGCGGGCCAGTCACGAGTGGCGGGCCAGTCACGAGTGGCGGGCCAGTCACGAGTGGCGGGCCAGTCACGAGTGGCGGGCCAGTCACGAGTGGCGGGCCAGTCACGAGTGGCGGGCCAGTCACGAGTGGCGGGCCAGTCACGAGTGGCGGGCCAGTCACGAGTGGCGGGCCAGTCACGAGTGGCGGGCCAGTCACGAGTGGCGGGCCAGTCACGAGTGGCGGGCCAGTCACGAGTGGCGGGCCAGTCACGAGTGGCGGGCCAGTCACGAGTGGCGGGCCAGTCACGAGTGGCGGGCCAGTCACGAGTGGCGGGCCAGTCACGAGTGGCGGGCCAGTCACGAGTGGCGGGCCAGTCACGAGTGGCGGGCCAGTCACGAGTGGCGGGCCAGTCACGAGTGGCGGGCCAGTCACGAGTGGCGGGCCAGTCACGAGTGGCGGGCCAGTCACGAGTGGCGGGCCAGTCACGAGTGGCGGGCCAGTCACGAGTGGCGGGCCAGTACAGGTAGCGGCCCGTCACAATTGGCAGTCAGCAAGACAGTCAGCCAGTTAGACGAGATGCTTCTCGTGTACTGACATTGTCAATTGGTCATGTGATGAAATCTTCATTATTTTCAAGTCAATATAACCGAAGAATTTGTTATGTAACAATGTTTCAAATGGCAATGTTAAACCTTTCGGCGTAATCACATTGCAAGGCAAGAAAATCATATAAACTAAATTAAGTAAATTAATCTTGGAGCTATGTGAACGAAACAAAATCCTCTTCTATATACAATAAAGAGGACACTTTAAACCACTAAACGCGTAGTTCACGAAATTCAGTCGACGGGAAAATACATAAACTGAAAAATAGTTACTTTGGCAACTCCCTGTAGCATCGTCCATATTGAATCCCTCCTTGCAAATGCAATCGTAACCATCATCCAAATCCACACAGTCAGCGTTGGCATCGCAATCGTTCGTCGAGTCATCATCGCATTCGTTTATATCTGAACAGTGTATAAAAGACGATACCTGTTGTCAAATCACCTCTATTCCAACAAGCAGTTGTGACAAAATTTATATCTCCCACTTTGTTCGCAATTCCCATAAATTATCGCAGTCATAGCAAGCTTGTTCACGTACGAACGGTGAAAGCAGTATCAACAAAAAATGCAGTTGATGTCTAAAAAGAAAGAGCACACCTTCAGGTTTATCACTGATAGCACTAACAGAATTTCATGCTATGCAATTAATCTAAACGGATTAGAATAAACATGTAGGACAAAAAGGGGAGTACAAAAAGTGTTTCTATAACTACCATTTTTTACTGTGTTTTCCAGTTTGTCCGAAAGTGCATTTTTAACCTCTGGCAGGAGCTTACACATGTCACTTGGTGGTCGGTCGGTCGGATGGTCTGTCTGTCTGTCTGTCCTGACAATTAGCCAAAAGTATGGTGTTCCATATGTGCCATCGGCGTCGCATTTTTCGTCAAAGCTTATTGTGCAGTCGCGCTTGTTTTTTAATGATCCAGAATGACTATTCACCGGATCCCTTTCATGCATGTTTTATTAGGGGTAATCGATACGATGCTACTGTTCGGCTGTCTTTACCAATCTACAATTAGCCACAAGTGACAGGTAGTAAACAAGCAGTGTCGTAGTCGAGAGCGGATAGTCGGAAACCGGGTCACCAAGACCGAGACCTGAATTTTCGAGACCGAGACCAAGCCCAGCCCCTTCAAGGTGGACCGAGACCGAGACCGATATGGTCCGAGACCGAGACCGAGACCGCGGATAATAAATGACAATGATCTAAATAATAACCAAGAAAAATAATTACAGCTGAACAGTCTGTCCTTGAGATGATGATAGGGATGTGAAGGAAGTGATTGAAAGCTAGCAATCACTTGTACCTGCTTGTGTCATGGGAGTGCTCTTCATGTATGATTCATACATTAAATTACATCATGGCATCAGGATTTGTTATCGTTTGCACAATCATTTACAAATCTTGGAAACAACTCATATCTCGTTGCCACTTTAAAAAAATATTTATGTTTAATTATTTAAAAAAAAACTGATGAAGAAACTATAACTTAGGGGTGCGATGTTTTGATATTGCCAAAAAATACACATTTTCGCACTGCGCGAACAAGTTTACTAATTTTTTGCAATGTTTAAACTTGACAAAAGTAAACAATTAAAGGTGGATGTTTCATCTGTTATAAGAACTCAGATCCTAAACTCCACAGTCACCCCTTGGTTTCAGCTATGACTACTAACGCATATTTAAAGATGCAATTTTAATTTTACACCAGGCCTCTTTTTCTTGAATAATAATAGGACTTAACTTCTACCAAAAAAAATTGTAAACCTGATTTTAACAAATGGGGGATAGAAAATATTGCATTATTACTTAAAATGTCCGTAATGAAATATAGACTTGTACATACATAGACCCACAAGTTGCGAGGTGGTAACCAGATATTGATTTATATTTTTTTCTGACCGCGATTTTGCTTTTTGGGAAATGGGTACTTCAAATGAGCAGCCAGAAAATGAGGTCTTATCATACACTCTCATTGCAACAGTGAATGTTAACTGGTAAGAGTGTGTAAATTCATTGCTGGAAAATCAGGTGAAACATTTACTTTTTCTTCAAATACTGTCCCAAATTAAAGACAAAATTGTGTGGGGTCGAAAATATCACTAATTTGGAGCAGCTCATTTATTTGAAGAAGAAAAAACACAAGAGAATACGCACACAAGGGTGGGCAAATTACACAATCCCCCAAAATGGTGGGCCCTTAATGGAGCTAACTGCAGCTTTACATGTACTTTTGGGACTTTCCAACAGTTCGAACCAACTACGATATATAACTATTCGTTAACAAGGTTGACAACATGATCTACGGGCTAGCAAATGTTCTAACTATTAACGGTACTAAAAGAAGTGAACACAAAGTAATCGATCGAGATGTAAATGCTCCATATTGCCGGTCTTGACTCCAGACCAGCCAAAATATCGAGACCAAAGGGGACCGAGACCAAGACCAAAACCGAGACCAAAGCTCCCGAGACCGAGACCAGCAAATAGTGGTCTCGAGACCGGTCTCGAGACCGAGACCGGTCTCGAGACCTACGACACTGGTCACAAGTGGCAGCCAGCAAGACAGTTAGTTAGTTAGAATGTGAAATCTTCATCATTGTCAAGTCTATATAATCGAAGAATTTGTTATGTAACTGTCAATGTTACACCGTTCGGAGACATCACATTGCAAGAAAATCATAAAACTTGTAAAATGAACTCAAAATCCTCTTCTATATATACAATATAGAGGACACTTTAAACCTCTAAACGCGTAGTTCACGAAAAGAGTGGAGTTGATGGGAAAATACACTGAAAAAATTACTTGTGCAATTCCTCGTCGCCTCGTCAACAGAGAATCCCTCCTTGCAAATGCAATCGTAACCATCATCCAAATCCACACAGTCAGCGTTGGCATCGCAATCGTTCGTCGAGTCATCATCGCATTCGTTCATTTCTGAACAGTGTATAAAGACGATACTTTTTGTAAAATACCCTCCATTCCAACCAGTGGTTGTAACATTAATATAAAATTTATATCCCCGACTTTGTTCGCGATCCCCGAAATTATCGCAGTTATAGCAAGCTAAATCACGTGAATTTTCTTTTTTTAAATTTAAAACTAAATGTTTATTTACGGAGCTTTTAAAGGGATATAGGTGAAAAAAAATTGAAAAAATCATCGTAAGAATGAAAACAAATCTGCGTTCGAACGAAAAAAATCTGCGTTCGAACGAAAAAAATCTGCGTTCGAACGAAAAAAATCTGCGTTCGAACGCAAAAAATCTGCGTGCGAACGCAAAAAATCTGCGTTCGAACGCAAAAAATCTGCGTTCGAACGCAAAAAAATCTGCGTTCGAACGAAAAAAATCTGCGTTCGAACGAAAAAAAATCTGCGTTCGAACGAAAAAAATCTGCGTGCGAACGAAAAAAATCTGCGTTCGAACGCAAAAAATCTGCGTTCGAACGAAAAAAAATCTGCGTTCGAACGAAAAAAATCTGCGTTCGAACGAAAAAAATCTGCGTTCGAACGAAAAAGCTGTTTGCTGTTTGCTGTAAGCTGTTTGCCCTCCCTGTGCTGCCCCACCACTTATGTGGGTGATTTGGTCACGTTTTTTCAGGTCCAACATGCATGACATATGTGCCCAATGTAGGTCCGTGGCCCAAGTACAGGGATTTCAATAACAGGTCTTAAAGCAGTCTATGAGCTTTCAAACGGTCTTACTAGGGCTTGCTGTTAGTTGGTCATGAAGTTTAACCATTGCAATGAAGATCTAGCTAATTGTCCTTCTTTTTTAAGAGTCCCTATCCTGTTACAATACTAGCTACAACACAACCCCCCCACCCCATCAGTCCCACCCATTATGCTATGCTGAGGCAACACACTTATGAGACATTTTTAAAAGTAATTTGCCTTTTTGGTTTCTTTTTATAAAGTGAGGCAAGTTTTAAAAAAATAATTAAAAAAGGTTATATAATTATCTTTCAATTTTTTTCAGGTAAATAAATATAACTGGTCGTCATTGTGATTTTCAGAAATTTGTCTATCCACAAATCCTTTAGTATAAATGTTCATTCCTAATCCTTGTAATAGTTCCAAAGTTTAGAAGCGACTGACATGTATATATTGTTTGATCATTTCTGGCTTTCAATAAGCCTATTTTACTAGTCTAACACTAGTACATGTACATGTACTTTCTGCTTCCTCACTTTCAGATACGGGATTCACTAATTAGCTGATTCCTACTCATACTCATAGCAATCGACGAACATGTCGGGCTATTCTGATAGCCATGGCTAGCCCGACATGTTTTTTGGTGGCCCATGGATAACCAGTTAAAGGGAAAATACAATATTTGCAAACATAAAAAAATAAAACTACCGAATCATTTTGAAATACCTTGCTGGACTGTTAGTGAATGACAGTGTAAAGCATCCTGTAAAATCATGGCACCTGGTATACTGTCATTTTCAAGAAAAGTGGTATTTTTGTATCAATTTCCAACGCTGATCGGCCGATCAGCGTTGGAAAAAAACTGTTTTTTTTTTCAAATACTGGCCCCAGTTGACCATCGTATTTGTTTGCAATCGATTACACACCTATGAACGGGTACAAGCCAGCTAGACTGGTTCCCTGACCTTACAATTCCCCAATGTATGTAAACTGCTCTGTTTCTTCTTAAATGGAGTCAGGGAACCAGACTACAGGAAAATGATTGTTTTTCTTGGTTTTTATAACATTTTCGAACCCAAAACCTCAAAAAAGTCAGTGTAACTATATTTGCTATATATTTCCAACCCCCCAATTCCATCCATTTCTGAAAATTACAGCAAAAGCAAATGATGTATATTCCCTTTAAATCATGAGTCAGCTCATGATTGATACGTTTTACATGTTTGGTACAACAGTTTTCAGGGCAAAGAATGTTTTGACCCACAAATTCACCCACATAAGTGGTGGGGCAGCACAGGGAGGGCAAACAGCTTACAGCAAACAGCAAACAGCTTTTTCGTTCGAACGCAGATTTTTTTCGTTCGAACGCAGATTTTTTTTCGTTCGAACGCAGATTTTTTGCGTTCGCACGCAGATTTTCTGCGTTCGCACGCAGATTTTCTGCGTTCGCACGCAGATTTTTTTGCGTTCGCAGGCAGATTTTTTTCGTTCGAACGCAGATTTTTTTGCGTTCGCACGCAGATTTTTTGCGTTCGCAGGCAGATTTTTTGCGTTCGAACGCAGATTTTTTGCGTTCGCACGCAGATTTTTTGCGTTCGCACGCAGATTTTTGCGTTCGCACGCAGATTTTTTGCGTTCGAACGCAGATTTTTTGCGTTCGCACGCAGATTTTTTGCGTTCGCACGCAGATTTTTTGCGTTCGAACGCAGATTTTTTGCGTTCGCACGCAGATTTTTTGCGTTTGAACGCAGATTTTTTGCGTTCGAACGCAGATTTGTTTTCATTCTTACGATGGATTTTTTCAATTTTTTTGTCCACCTATGTCCCTTTAAAAGCTCCGTATTTATTCATTTGTTCGAAGAAACTTTGGCATTATACGCAGGTCCACATTTAAATTTCGATAGTGGCTTGATGCTTTTTCAGTTCTTCATAGCCAATTTTTAGTAAACGACATTCGGATCTTGCATTTGATGAGATTTTGAGCTTATAGTGTCAGAACTGTTTGTAACAAACAAAACTTTCTTACTTCCAAAAGAGGTGAGAAATTATTAGGATTAATGTATTAAGCAATTAAAAAAACCTCTCCCGACCACAGAAATTAATATGAGAGTGCAACAAAATTGTCGCTCAGTGGGCTAGGGGAGGGGTGGTTGAATCCCCGGCCCCTTGTGCGCCCCCTTCCAACTTATATTCTACATTCGGGAAAAAGCAAAGATTAGCTTGATAAAAAAAAAGCCGCATTGGATGCACAATCCAATTACTTATCTCCCAAAGCGCCCCTGCAAATTGAATACTGTAGTCACTTACCGATAATTAATTTTAGGTTTTGGGAGACTACTTGCTCCCCGTCAAAATACTGGCACTTGTAGATACCCACGGACGCCCTGTCCACGGGCCCGACTGTCAGGTTGCACTGCCTCTCAAAGCCTCCATGTCCTGTATACGACCCAGGAAACTCCTCATGAAACTTGCATGAACCCCGGATTTCATTCTCAAAGAGCCATTTGAGTTTCAGATTATGAAGGCCTGTGTCCCCGGCCACTATGCAAGTGAGAGTAACATTAGTGTCCGGTGAAGCCAACACTTCGGGTCCGGGTAGAATCATGAGAGATGATGACGCTGCAATGGAGTTTGAAATTCATGAACCTTCAAGGCACGGCAAGCCTGGTAAAGTCGACCCCAAACGTACATTGATTTTTGGAGGTAATCCAGTACGATAGCACTGCCCTGCTAACAAGTGCTAGTCAGTCAGCAGGGCAGTTGGTATAAAGAGGATACTGTGCTGGCAGGGGTGTAGCAAGGTCATTTTTATTGGGGGTAAACATTTCTTGAAAAGGGCACTCGCACATCTAAAATGTTGAGATGTGGACACTTTTTTTTTTCTCCGGACACTTGCATTCGTAATATCGTATTTTTTTTATTTTTTTTTTTTGGGGGGGGGGGGGGAGTATATAGCGCTTTTTAAGGCGACACATGCGCGAAAGTACAAAAAAACCACCAAATCTTTTGATTACTCATTTACTCATTTCCTGCTCTTTTGATTACTCATTTACTAATTTCACTGCTCTTCTGCTCATTTCCTGCTCTTTCGATTACTCATTTACTCATTTCGCTGCTGATCGGCTCATTTTCTGCTCTTTTGAGTACTCATTCACTCATTTCGCTGCTCATCTGCTCATGTCCTGCTCATTTGAGTACTTATCTGATCATGTCCTGCTCTTTTGAGTACTAATTTACTCATTTCGCTGCTCATCTGCTCATGTCCTGCTCATTTGAGTACTTATCTGATCATGTCCTGCTCTTTTGAGTACTAATTTACTCATTTCGCTGCTCATCTGCTCATTTCCTGCTCATTTGAGTACTTATCTGATCATGTCCTGCTCTTTTGAGTACTAATTTACTCATTTCACTGTCCATCTGCCCATTTAACTGATCATCTGCTAATTTTACTCGTTTCACTGCTCATTAATGAGCAGATGAGCATTTACATGAGCAGATGAGCAGGAAATGAGCAAATGAGCAGTTAAATGAGCAGATGGGCAGTGAAATGAGTAAATGATGAAGACGAAGATTTTGAGGAAGATGATTCGAAATCCGAAAAGGAGGTGGAAGAAGACGAATTATCGGATAAAGATGAGTCTAGTTCTGATTTGGAAGACAACACCGCATATGGAGACTGGTTGAAAGAGTCCATAAAAGCAACCAATGAGATGTGGAGTGAAAAATATAAGTGTAGATCTGGCCAAGGAAAAGGCCATCAGGAAGACCCTTTGGGCAGTCAAGCGAATCATTTTCAACAAACACAAGGATTTTTTTTTTTCAATTAAGTTACCTACATCTGAAAGATAATGACACTCATCAAGTTATTGTGGAACTTCGGATATCGCAGACAAATTAAATACAGGCATGAAAGTGAATAAATCTCTGAACAGAGTTATGCCTAAACACCGTAACACATTTGACGGATTGTTCCAACGAGACGAGGATGAAGAAAACGAGGAAGACAGTGATGATTAGAGAATAGTAGTTTCAAAAAGATTATTGTCATTTTAAGAATAATCTAGAAATGTCTAATAAAACGGAAAATAATATATAAAATAGCCACCTCTTTAGCAATTCTTACAGTAATTCGTTATGGCTACTTCATACCATGGAGGAATAAGTTCACAATATTATGTTACATTGGGGACGCTGACGATTAGAAGAAGAACATGCCCATGCATGGGAATTTTAAACTGTTGTAAGTTGTATATAGCTGTATATAGACAGTATATTTTAAACCTATAAAACAGTTAAAAAGAAAACAAACGTTTAGCAGGTCTGAAATGCTTAAACGGGCAGTTTTTTTGGACAACTGGAGTAGGCCTCATATCGTCACCGTCACCACGAAGTGACACTAACATCCAAAAATCAATATTTTACGATTTCGATTTTTTTCCTGATTTGTGATTAATAACACTTAATCTATCACCTCAAGAAGTTACTAAACACATAGTTAATTAGTTTTGTCAAAACATTAATTAACATTAATGAACGTTTGCAACTTAATAGGTCAAAACCGGAAAATGCGTTTTCACGAAGTGTACTTTACCATTCTTTTGCACGTAAACTGCCTGCACACTACGCGTCAAAAACGGGTTTTGCGTTTTCACAAAGTAACACAAGTGTCACGTGATACGCGCGACTCACTTCTGGCGTCATCACGAAGTAGCGCTAACCCATTAGCTAATACACATGGTTAGCGTCACTTCGTGAAAACTCGAAAGGCGCGTATTCTGATTTTAGAGTTTTTACGAAGTGACCTTAAGGTTAATTAGTTGATAACTCATTAATATTATTTGTTTTCAATAAAAATCATACATAAACGTGTCATTCAAGATCCCAGCTTTCAGACAATGTAAAAAAAATATGAATTTTGAGGCTAATACGATGTTCAGATCACCATTTCAAAACATCACCAACTTAAATCGCTTGTATCTCGAAACACACATTTTCCACTTCGCGGGGGTTAAGGTCACTTCGTGGTGTCGGTGACGATATGTAAGATAGGCATTTGTGTTATGAACGCTTTAGAGACTGAATTCATTCACGGCTTCATTGACGGTACACACCACGAAATTTCAAGTTACTGAACAGTTCACTGATTCAGAAGCGGAAATAATCAAAAAGACGTAAAGGCCCATGTGTTTGGTATGAACGAGTGAGATGTGTGAATACATCGTGTTATAATTGATGACAAGTGTGTGGACATCCCTATACTTCTTATGTTTACTCTCGGTAGACAACCAAGCACACAATGCGAAGATTTGGTGTGCTTGGTTGTCTACCGAGAGTTTTTCTAGATCACCTCCCTTTCTCTTCACCAATCACAGTGCACGATTTTGTCGGCAGAACCAACAAACTTATCTCCAACCACAAGCTAACCTTATCTCGTTCCACAACCCTCCTGCTCCTAATCCCCCTCCGCCCCCATATGCACACCCTAATCCTCCTTATTCTTTCTATTTTTTACGCTTTGTCAACTTCTTATCGCTTCTTATCACCCTTTATCTTATCTATTACGTAACTTTTGTTTGCGGGCGGGATCAAGAACCCCTTGCCGACTAAAATAGCACTCGTAACGGCCGCTGCCACAAAAAGAGCACTTTTTTTTGTAAAAAAAAAGGCGCTTGTTCGGGAAAAAAAGACCATTCGTTCAAAAAAGGGCACTTGTTAAAAATATTAGAGGGGGGGGACCGCTTGTGAAAGACAGGACACTTGAATGGAAAAGGGCAGTCTTACAAACTATTGGGATGTAAATACCACCTCGGCTGGCTTAGCCTAATGCTGGACTTTATAGGACCAGCACAAACTCTAAAATCGAGGCGTATATGTAAGTATTATTATTGTTTCCTGCATGAAGTTTACACATACACTATGTAACCAAAATGCAGCCTGCAGCCACTCCTAACGAGCACTTTCAATTGTGATATAGAAGATTAACCAAGAACGGCCTGTTTCCTCTAAATTATAGTGTTTACAAGATTTCATTTTGTTAAAAAACCCTCTTACCTGTTGTATGTTGGAAAAGTAGTGCAGTAATAACGAATAACGCCGCCATGCTGGTCATAGTGTATTGTAATGTCTTTTCGTCACTAGGCCTATTGTCTTTCAAATGTAGTATGAAATTGTCTACTGTTTTAGAAAAGTGATATCGAGACTCGATTCTTCATCTGTTTACTCTAGCTTAGTTTTCATAAACGGGCAGAGGCTTTTTGCATTTTGTTTGTTTCGATATCTTCCTTTTTTACTGGTATATATGGCTTAATAATAATATTCTGTGATTAAGCTAAATGAACTTTGTGCTGTTCACACGATCATAAAGTTTGTTTTGTTAGCACGTTTTAGTTTTGCTCTTTATGTTACGGTTTTCTAGTGTTTTTTGGGGGGAGGGGCGAAGGAGAGGGGGGGGGGGAGTGGTAACGGCAAATAGAGGGGGAGTGGTAACGGCAAATAGAAGGATGTAATCTGAGTATCATCCGTTGTTAAACGGATCCCGCTCCGTACTATTTGAACATACTAATTGTATGTGACCCTGCGCACCAACCCATTGGAATCGGCTTTAGAAATTGGGACGTCATTTCGATAAAAAATGTTGACAAATTAACTGTTGGTTGATCAATTTAGCTGCCATGTTTTTGAAATAAAACAACGGGCTACCGAAGACCCGATAGGAGGTGCCCGTTGAATGGTCAGAATCTCGAGGTCACGCTGTTTTGCTTTGCTTTATTTGAATCTGCTCGCATGTCATAGACCCTTGCTTGCATGTATAGACAGGTTGCTATCGTGGGCATTTTTTTTATCGAACTTTATAGATTCAGTAAAATACCATGGCAAAATAGCTATCCGTTTTTGACTGTTGGCTACGATATGCATGTATAACAACTTGTTTTTAGTGTTATGCTCTGTACGTTTACACTCTGTACAGAGCCTAGTAGCTAGTGATCCAGAGTGCAGTGCATTGTATACATCTCACAAATAGAGTATTTTTGGGAAATTGGAAATATATATTTCTTTATTCTTCAGGCAATACTTCATTTCAGGAAGCAGATTTACTTTTAATACTGTCCATGCATATTATTATAATAATATCCTAGATTGTTGCCACAACTCTTTGCACACGATTTTATTTCATTTTCTATGGTTTCTATATAGTTTAGGTTTCTATAAAATACGGACTTATTGGTAGTATTGCGCATGCCTAAGCAAACATAATTGAATTAGGAGGTGACCGGTCTCATTAGCGGGTTTACCCAATAAAAGTGTAAAAAAGGCTGATTTTCATAGGAGTCCACCTTTCGTATGGCACGTACCGTAATGGCCCAGACCGTGATTCAACCCACGGTTCAGCCCGGCGCGATTCATGACCGCAATTTGGCCAGTAATTTGCCGGATGGATACCCCAAAGCGCACAGTTTCTAAAGCAAATTTTATTGTAATTTCCCCCTCCCCCCCCAAAAAAAAAAACCACACTTTGACCAGAAAGTACTGCCTATCACGATTTTAGAGGCTTCTCTAATAAGAAAAAGCGACAATAATCCTGGAGAAAATAAGAGACAGTAATCCCGCATGTTTGTACCATTAAGTAACCCGCATTTGTATATTCCATGGACCGATTTCGCTTCTTGCCTCAAAAACCAGTTTTGCAAAACTTATAGTTTATTAGGGGAAAGCCTAATAAAGTCTTTAAAACAAACTGCTGTTTTATCAGCGTTTTAAACCACGTGAAGAACCTCGACCAATAGGCATATGGGTGAACTGTCTTAGTTTGTATTTGCATTCATTCCGAAGGACAGTTCGGAGTTCATTCCGAAAGATAGTCAGGAAACCAGACTATCGGCCGAATTGAATATGATACTGTAGTGATGAGAAATGATTTATTTACTTTTCCCATATGGTCAAATGAGGGCGCTGTTTAAGTTAACCGGTTAAACTTCCGCTAATTTGTTGGAGGTTATGAGGATATAGAAATAGTATGTTCATCAGCTAAGTAAGGGGGTATTTTGACAATAATAGATAACTAAGGGGTTCTATCTCGCATGAAGTGCTGTATTCTCAAAAGAAAATTTCTTTTATTGTAAAATATGTGAATGTAGGATAGAGCAGTAAACAACTGTTTACGTAAGCGGGTTTGGTGGGCACTGTCTCCGAGGTCTGCGTTTCTGACAGCTGCAGAAAGATTGCTTTATCAATATCAGACCAATTGAGTGCGACAGTCGATGGCTGGGATGTATATTTAGACACCAGAGGAAGGAGAGACAGCCCTGGAGCCCGTGAACTGGCCGTTTGTTTTGTGCTGAATGGGAAATGTTAGTTTCATCTGTTGGACATTTCAATGGTCGGTTTAAGCACAATAATGAAGGTTCGTCTTATGGATCTATGTAAGCTTAGCATTGTACTGTACATAATCACATTAATTGCGCTCTATTTTTTATCATTTGTAACACAAAATTAGTTTTATTATCAGATGTTTTCAAATTGCATCAACTTTAGAGTGATAAAAAGGCAGTCACACAGTTTCATAGTGACAGAATTGAGAAAATCACCAACGAATCACCCCCCCCCCCAAAAAAAATTCTACAGCAAAATATCCAAAATTCTGCCAACTTTTTGTGTACAAAACAATTGCAACATTGAGGTTTCTGCTTGAAATTACATCATGCTTTTGCTCATGAATATGGAAATTCGCATTAGCATAAAAGGCACAAAAAATATCTTTTGAAAACGGCATAATGAAAATTTAAAATAAGGTTTAATGGGACACAAAGGTGTATTTTCAAGAATTAAATTAAAAACAATTGCATTTCATGGGCCCTTTAAAATCATTGTTGCATGTAAAATTGACATAAATTACAAAAGAATTTTTAACGATTTTCGGCTTTCAGGGACAAGTATCCAAGATGTCTTCGGCGCCTCTGGCTACGTTCAAAAGAGTATTTGGCACCGAATTCCTTGTCCGACGTTCCGCCCCACTGAACGTTTAGATGGTGTTATCTGGTACCAAGAGTCCATCGTATTCGACCCATCAACGGTGCGTCTGATCAGCCGAGACCTGCGAGGAGGCGACATCAAAGACACGCCTGCCGACGAGAGGTACTCGATGTCGTCCAATCACGGACTTGTTATTGAGGTAGTCGAGGACAGGGACGAGGGAAGTTTCCTTTGCCAGGTTATTCCTGAAGCTGCCGGTATGAGTCGAGAGAGTATACTTCCAAGTCATAGGTACAAAAGTTATTGTTGTAGTTCAGACACAAGTGATGTACAAATCAATCACGTACCATCTAATCCAAGTGAGCTAATTCCATTCAAATGAACTGTGGACCGAAACTTTCCTTTACTATTTTACTATTGTTACGAGAAGAGGAAGTGGTCGTCGCAAGTCTTTGCAGCGTACACAGAAAGAAAGAAGTACCGATTTGTTGCTGGTAAGTAGTGGGGCCCGGGAGATTCGCTAGCCCCCTTCTACCACCAAGCCCACTAACCACACCAGCTAACATTGTTATCCAGCCACGGTTTTGATTTTTTGAATTCAATTCCTAGTTTGATTTCGTATATTTTGATGTGTTTTCTTTGTTGATCATAGTCATTTCAGCTTTTCCTTACTTGTTTTGGGATTTAATTTTGTTATCGCTTCGTTTATTTCATTCATTTTGCCTCATCCATTTTTCTTAATTGTTTCAAGCGCGGGTAGAGCATAAATAATGACACGAGTTTGACACAGATTATAACACAGCGCCCTCTGTTGGCCAAAGGGTGTATAGTACATATTATTGAGTTTGTGGAAAAATGCATACATTTTTTTTTTCACAAATTACATGTAGAACATTGAGTTCCTTTTACATTTAACAGTCCGATGGTTTCAACAGTCCATTAACTTTGAGTTCAAATTTCAAGAGTTCACGTGCTGAGTGTAAATTAGGAGTGTTTCAACTATAAGTGCTGAGATTTTTTTAAGGCTCTCAAAATGCAGGCTTCCATGTCTGAATCAACAATTTGAACTAGATGTTTTAAAGAGTTATATGATTAGGCAACAACACCTAATCAAAAATTGAGAGTAAATGCAACATGAGTAACACTTGAAAATGCAAAAACGAACTTTCACTAATTGTTTTGTTTTGTTTTGTTTTTTTTGTTTCAAAACTTGAATAGAAAATCACTTTTTCTGATAATGGTTATTTGTGGTTCCAGAGAGAAAAGGATTAAAATGGAGTGGAAACATTGGTGTTTTTGTGTGTGTCATGGTTTTTTTTTACTAGTGATTAGAAGCGAACATAATCTTGGAATTTAACTGGTTCACATCGAGTGCGAGAGGATCTTCGCAGTGTGGGCTGTTCAGTGGGGGTGGTTGTCGGATCTGGGTTAGCGTGCGATATTGGGATTTTGGAGTTAGTAGGTGCTGCGGCTGGATCAGGATTGGGTGGAACTGGAGTCATGTCTGGTTGGATGGAGACTTCTTTCTGGGAGTCAGTGGTTCTGGGACATCCTTCTGGGACGTGCAGTGTGTTTCCAGTACCAGGCTCATGTTGTTTTAGGGCTGGTTCCTTTGACTTCCTCAGGTGTTCTCTGTTCCGTCTGTAAACCTGGTCATCTTGAAGCACTTCATAGTTTGCGCAGTACGAGTGCTTTCTTCCAACGATCTTCTCCTTGCTGGAACGGTTTCATGCGCATAGTGTCACCTTGTATCAGTGAGGGTAGGTCTTTTGTGGATTGGTTGTAGTATTTTGCCTGTCTCTTCTGGTTCAGCTCCAACTGTTTCATCTCACGTTTGCCCTCGGAACCTCTGGCTTGGAGTAGGCGTCGTGATGTTGGTATCAGCGTCTTTGTTCGTTGAGAGGGGCTGGAGTCAACGCCTGAGTTGGTGTGTTCCTGATGTTGAACAGGGCTAGGTCTTCATCTTCACCAGTGGCAAGGCATTTCTCCAGCATCTTTTTTGCAGACTTGACTGCAGACTCAGCCTTTCTATTAGCCTTACTGTTATATGGGGAGATGGTGTTATGCTTGATTCCCCACTTTCGTGTGAAATCGCCAAAGTCCTTTGAAGAGAATGCTGGGCCATTATCGCTGACTATGTTGTCTGGTATGCCGTATCTGCCAAAATGATGTTTGAACTTGCCAATGACTGATCTGGCAGTTGTGCTGTGCAGACGATCCACCTCCCAGAAGTTGGACTAATAGCACACGGTGATGAGGTTATCTTTCCCATCATGGTGGAAAAGATCAATGCCAAGTTTTTCCCAGGGTCGTTCGGGTATGTCATGGGACATCAGTAGAAGTGGTGCTTGGGACACCTCGTATTCTCTGCACGTCTCACTGCACTCGATCCACTGACGGATTTCATCTGTCATTGCCAGGCCAGAAGACGTATTCTCTTGATCTTTGCAAAGTACCTTCCACACCGATATGGCCCAGATGCAGATCTTGCTTGATGACCTGTCTTGTGGTTTTCGGGATCACAAGTCGCTCACCCCGGAACACTAGGGTTGCGAAGTTTTATGGTACTTCTGCCGACAGCAGTCATACAGGAGTTGTTCCAGATCTTGAGCTCAATTCGCGCTGGAGAGATCTCCATGGCATATTTCTTGGGAATCAGATTGATAGTTGCGCCACAGTCAACCTGTCAAAACTTCACAGGTTCACCCTTGATTTCCATGGTGCAGTATACTGGCTTGCTGTCGTCTGTTACTGAGTTAAAGGGAATGTACAACATTTGTTTTTGCTTCAAGTTTCAGAAATAAATGGATTTGGAGGATTAGTATGTCATAGAAAATATTGTTGAAATGACTGTTTCACGTTTTGGGCTTGTAGATGCTGGAAAAACCAAGAAAACCTATTATGCTCTTGTAGTCTGGTTCCCTGACCCCAATAAGATGAAACGGTGCACCATACACTTTAGGGAATTGCAAGGTCTGAGAATCAGTCTAGCAGGCCTGTACCCCTTCAGAGGTGTGTGATCAGTTGCAAAGACAATTCAGAAAACTAAAATATGAAAAATTAAGAACAGTTTTTTTGAAAAAAAAGCCAGTTGTTTTCCAAACGCTGGTCGGCCGACCAGCGTTGGAAAAATGCAGTTTTTCTTGAAAATGTCAGCAAACTAGGAGCCACGATTTTAAAGGATGCTTTAGACTGTCATTCCTAGTAATCCAGTAAGGTATTTCGTGATAATTTTATCATTTCGTATTTTGATGTTTGCAAATGTTGTATTTTCCCTTTAATGTCAGTGGTGACACAGCTTACGGTCTCTCCTGAAGAAGAAGTGTGGCCGTCTTCTACTACTGCATGGACACGGTGATTTTTGCAAACTCTGGATTTCTTGAAGTGATTCTTTACACCGCATGAATCACAGGTGCGGCCCCAGGCTGGACAGAGTTCCTTTTTCATGGGATGGTTCCCACAGCAGAACTTGCATCGCTTGGAGATAGGCTTCTCGCCTTCGTTCACTGGGGCTTTACGGGGAGGACGCTGCTTCGGCTGTCGAGGCCTTTTGACAGTTTTCTTTGGCCTCACTTTGTGTACAGTTTCCTCCTTCTACATCGCCTTCATCTGCACAGTTGCAACCTCAACGGCTTTGCAGATTTCAATGGCCTTTGTCAGTGTGAGGTCGTGAGTTGCCATCATTTTCTCTCTCATTTTGTCGTCTAGTACTCCCATTGGGAGGCGGTCCATTAGGAGTTTGTCCTTCATGCAGGCACGTACAGAGACCACATGTTTTGCTCATGGTGCGGAGTAAAGAGATGTATTGCTCAATGGGCTCAGCTTCTTCTTGGTTACGACGGTTGAATTTGAAGCGCTCAAAAAATTATTGACGTTGGCCGAGAAAATGAGAGTCAAATTTCTTGAGAATCTTTGAGCAGATCTGATTGTCCGCAGGATTATTAAATTTCATCCCGTTGTATATGCGTACACCCTCCGAGCCAATACTGTGGAGCAGCAGAGCAGCTTGGTAAGCCTCAGGTTGGTTTGCAAGGTTTGTGAGGACACAGTAGTTGTCCTACATTTAACACCACATATTCCACTTCTCGGCTGCATCCTTAGCACTTGCATTAAAATGAGCTGGTGGATTGATATGTGGCTTTTTATATTGTTCCGAAACATTAGAGCTTGAAGCAGTTTGGGTGGCTCCAGGAAAAGTTGGCATTTTGACAGTATAGATTGTCAGTTATTCAGTTAATGGTGTAGGCAAAAGTACATGTATGAGCAAAAACACAGTGCAGAATCACACTTTGGAACGGTTGAAATGAGAGACAGAGATGACAATTTTTCCAGCAGTAGTCACATGGGAATGTCACAGTTCAACATGTTCATGTGTACACTACAGTACGTGCAGTACAATGCCACAGTCAGACAGTATGCAGTGAAAATGAGACTCACGCAGTTCGGCATAAAACAGTCAGAAATTTGTCATTTGTGCCAATAATGTTGTCAACAGCAAACAAACATTAGTTGCAGAATCTTCTTTAAATGTTCATGAAGCTTACCACCGCTGCCACCATGTTTCAAGCGCAGGTAGAGCATAAATAATGACACGAGTTTGACACAGATTATAACTTTGTGGAAGCAGCAATGTTTCAGGAATGACATATTACACAGCGCCCTCTGTTGGCCAAAGGGTGTATAGTACATTTTGTTACATTAAGTTCATATTTTTCAGCTGTTTGTGTCTGTGGCTTTGTCTGTAGCATTGAATTTCCCTTTTGTGGATTAGATGTACCTGTATTTTGCATTTATTTTGTTTTATGTTCGAACTTTTATGTTAATGTTTGCATCAGTCGATAGTTTTGTTTGTTCACATTTTCCTCTTCATGCTCCGTTCGTTTTGCTAACTATAGCTTCCCTTCACTTTATTTATTTGGCTTGAGTTATTTTTCTGTTTGTTTTTTTGCTCTTGTTTTTCTTACAGCAATATTGTAACTCCCCCTTTTTTCAATGAACTTGTATTAGGTAATTAATTGTCTGTATTTGTTCCATTGTTCATGTGTGTATAATGTCATTTGATTTTAATCTTGATGACTCGTTTGATAATGATGATAGTCGTGCCTGCCTTAACTTGTTCACCGATAGCCTCAACACCCTGAATATCGATGAAGACTCTTTTTCTATCTTCTATATGAATTCTAGAAGCCTCTGTAAACATTTCTATGATATCCAAGATTGCCTCTCCTGCCTTTCTCATTCCTTTTCTGTTCTCGGCTTCACTGAAACATGGTTCAGAGAAAGTCCTCCTCTGTATGTCAACATGACCAGTTATGACCTTATTCACTCCTCATGCTCTCATAAACTCCGAGGAGGAGCAGCTTTATTCATCTTCTTCGCTTGATTGTGAAAGTGTCTTCATCGAAACCGAACGCACTCACTCTCGCAATATTATTGTGGGTACTCAACTTGATACTTTTCAGCGTAACTTCGACCTTTGTCTCCATGCTATTTCTAGAGAGAATAGTTTGTGCTATTTGATGGGTGATTTTAATCTTGATTTACTCAAATGTTCTGAACATCAGTGACAACTTTGTCAACACCTTCTTCTCTTTTGGCCTGCGTCCTCTGATCGACCAGCCAACACGCGTCACCCCACCATAGCAGCACCCATAACTGCATAACATTGATGCTAGTATCTCAGCCGGTAACTTGAATACTGATATTTCTGATCACCTGCCACTTTTTCAAATTACTTCTTCTTTCTTTAGAAACTCCAAGCATTCTACTGAGACCTACTTTAGACGAAACATCAACGCTGATAGTTTACGTTCCTTTACCTCATATATTGAAGCTGTGGATTTGGGAGAAGTCTACCAATGTCAGCATGCAGATACTGCTTATAACAATTTAATTCTCCCTTTTCTGATACTTATAACCGGCATTTTCCTCTCGTTTTGCAACACTGTAGCAGGAAGACAAACAACCAACTTTGGATCACCCAATCTATTGTAAGCTCTTGCAATCACAAAAACAAGTTATACAGGCGCCGGATATCTTCGTAGCCCATCAGAGGCCAATAAGCGCCTCTACACCAGTTATCGGAATCGGTTGACTGCTGTCCTCCGTTCTGCCAAGAAAACCCTTTATGCCAAGAAATTTGAAATGTGTAAAAACAACATGAAAAACACTTGGCGTGAAATTAACAAGTTCTTGGTTAGGAGAGAAAGGCAGTCATCCAAGAGAACGGCTCTGATGGGAACGAAATGTTCCCCAATCCTGCCGATATCGCCGACTCCTTCAATTCTTACTTTACTAATATCGGCCCATCACTTAGCCATAAAATCCCCACGACAAACACGCACTTCGTGAATTACCTGCACTAATCTACCACAACTTCTGCTTCTCTTTTTCTGTTACCAACAGATAATGGAGATTAGTAATAACCTGTGCGGAAACACCAGTCCAGGATTCGATGGAATTTGCTTATCTGTTGTTAAATCTATTATCTCTTAAATCTCCCATCCTTTAGCTTATATTGTCAATATTTCCCTGTCTACTGGCTCCGTTCCATTAAACCTTAAAGTTGCTAAGGTGACTCCCGTTTTCAAGAGCGGCGATTCCCATAATATCCACAACTATCGTCCTATTTCAGCCTTTTTGCTTCTCCAAAATTCTTGAGAGAATCCTCTACAACCGACTCTCTAAATTTCTTTCACCCCCCCCCCCCATTTCCTTATCAATGTGATTTTCGTCCTGGTCATTCCACGGATATAGCACTCATTTATCTCACTGATTGTATCTCTTCTTCTCTCTCTAAAAAACTGTACGCTGTTGGTATCTTCGTGGATCTTTCCAAAGCCTTTGATACTAGTGACCACAACATTCTCATTTCTAAACTTGATTTCTATGGAGTCAGGGGCTGTGCTCTTGATTGTTTCAAAAGCTACTTACATCAAAGACGCCAGTTCACTATTGTCAAAAATCTTGATTCCTCTTGGAAATCTATCACCTATGGAGTTCTTCAGGGGTCTATTCTCGGCCCTCTACTGACTCTCTCTTTTGTACATCAATGATATTCACTATTCTTCTTCAACCTTGTATTTCTACTATTTGCTGACGACACTACTATTACTTTCTCTAGCTCTAACCTCCACTCTTTGGTTAACACTTTAAATGACGAACTCATCAATGATTTTTCTTGGTTCAAATCAAACAAATTTTCTCTTAATCCAGGTAAAACCAAATTCATGCTCTTCAGTAAATCCAATATCCACCTATTCTTCCTTTCCCTGTTTGCATTGAAGGCGAACCTCTTTCGCAGGTACCATCAACTATATTGCTTGAAGTTCTAGTCACTGATAAATTGACGTGGAATGACCATATCTCTTCTATTACTAAAATCACTGCTAGGCACACTGGTGTTCTCTCCAAACTCTCCAAACTTCGATCGTTTCTTGCCCCCTCTACCTTACTCTCTATCTACAATACTCTTATTCTTCCTTATCTCAACTACTCCAACATTGTCTGGGCGCGCTCTAGTCAACTGTATTCTCTTATTACCATCCAAAAACAAGCCATTAGAATCTGCACCCTTTCTTCTCCCCGGGAACATAGTGTACCTCTTTTTGCCCAACTGAATACACTAACTCTCACAGACATTAACAAACTTCAACCACGAATATTCATGTACCCTTATATAAACAAACGTCTTCCCCAGATATTTTCATCCTTGTTTCTAGCTGTTCACAACATCCATGGCCATAGCACAAGATCATCTAACAAACTTTATGTTCCTTTCACTTTCACTCGCAGATTATACTCCATGAACACAATTCGATTTCACGGGCCACGTCTATGGAATGACATCAGCCGGACGGTGAAAACACAGTCGTCTGTGGGCCGCTTAAAGAACTCCTTCCAAGCGGAACTGATTTCCCATTACATAGCATAGCTATTCTCTCGCCACTGTGCAAATTTCCTCCTCCCCACTGCTGTTTTTTTTTTCTGTTTCTCTTCTTCTTTTCGCTTCAAGTTAGGCAGGCACACTACAATTCATTTCGAAACAGAGAATTCAGATACATGTTCTTGTCTTTGTTTCTTGTTTGTCCACTCATGTTTGTAAATTGTTTGTGTTTGTACTGGAATGGCAATATGAGCCTTCGGCTTGTGCGCATGCCACAATATTTTTACAATTTATTATTTGTTAATGAGTCGTAGATTTTGTGGATTATTTACATTATTTTTTGGTTATTTAAATATTTGTTGTTCCTTACTCAGTTTCTCATTAATGTTATTTTAAATAGACTCACTGTGCATTTTTTTTGTCAGCAATATTGAAATACATGTTTGTATGAATAGATGTATGAATGATTCACAGTTGTGAATTTAATAATTCTTGTGATTTACTGTGTAACTTCAGTGTCAGCCTTGTTTAAAAGGTCTAAAGATCTTACACACCTTCCTGCATGGTTCATACTCAAACACGAAAATTGAATTAATCCGTTGTTTCCTTTAAAACCCAAAAATATGATAAAAAGAAGAACGGAGGAATCGGTGGAGATAGTATTGCAGTAAGAGTGATAGGTTCATTAACTTGTATTTTTTTATTAGATCGTATCAAGATGCAGTAGATCAAAAAAAAGTTTCCTATCAAACACAAAACATGATAAAAAGAAGAACCAACACAAAACCAAAGGTGATAGACACAACACCATCAACCATTATCCGTAAGCCCTACAGGAAACATATTCTGTGAATGCCTAAAAAATAAATGGCTAAACAAAAAAATCCAGTTACCATCGAGGATAAAGCCGGATTATCAAATTTTCAATTTCAAAAATAAAGGCGATACCTTTTCAGGAGGCAGTAGTCAGGCATCTTCCACCGCTAGCTTCCATCGAGGACGCAGACAGACGCTCCTGTGTAAGTGCGCGTCTCAGACACCAGACGCGCCGATCTCCGTAGTGTATTGGTCAACGGGAGAAGGCGTCACTACAGATACACAGATCATTGGTGCACGTTTCTCTGATGGTGCTACCCTGAAGGTTGGACACGGTGCCGATTACAGCATTGGTAGCGACGCTTCACTTCGAGTTAACTCCCTGAATGATATACAAGACACACAGAGATTCTGGTGTCACGTGTTCCAATCAGATGGTACTCTCAGAAATTGCGACATCGATGTCCAGATATCAGGTAGTGGAAATTTCCTTCCATCCCTCCTTCCATGGAGTGCAGTCCTCAAAAGATGAGTATAGTCGCACTGTGGTGTGTGTGTGAATGAGTGCAGGTGCAGTATGTACAGATGTGCAGAGTAAAAAAGTGATGTATGTGGTTTACATCACTGATTGATCCCTAAGCGCAGACTTGAAGGCGTCAAGGGATGGAGATGCTGCAGGGTCCTTCTCCTTCCTTCCATGGAGTGCAAATTTCATTGATTCAGTGCATAAAAGCAATTGCCAAAATAATGGTGCTTTTGAAAATTTGTGTTTTTCATGCGCTTAAATACATAAATGCATATTCAATTATCAGTCAGTGTCAAACAGCAAGAGCTAATAGTCTAGTTCCCAGTTTCAAGCGCTCAATATGTCATTGACTTCCAGTGTTGGGCGCGGAGCACATTTTTATCACGCTGGTTTGCATTGCAGTATAGGAAGATAGGTTGCACTGACAGCAATGAGTGCATGATTTTTAATTACTCTTTTTTTAATGTAGATCAACAGACACCCAACCACGCCCTCAAGGCATCCTCGACATCGTTCTACCTTCTTGAGGGTGGAGAGCAGTCACTTCCATGCTCGAGCTGGACCCCCGGTGTCGTAAGCTGTGAGGTACAGTGGTTCAAGATCGACACGTTAGGTCGACACTTTCTACTGTCTAGCAACGACGTCGATGCTGAATCGGAGTTCGAACTCGCCAGCGATTTCGGCCTGATCGTGAAATCAGTTAATGGCGAAGATGCTGGAAGATACCAATGTGATACAGGCGGAGGAATCAGTGGAGATAATATTGCAGTTAGAGTGATAGGTGCATAATTTTTTATTTTTTATTTGATCGTGCAAGATGCAGTAGATCAGAAAAAAAAAGATGTTCGTAATCCCCTTACTTTTTGTTTCGCTGTAGTTGGTTAAAGGGTTTTGTTGTCGAGATGGTTCGTACAGACAGGCATTTTCAATATTTGACAGACATTTGTAATAGATTTTTTTTTTCAATTCTTGAATTATTCAGATAACAAATTCCCACTGGACCGAGGAAGGGTGTTTGCAAACTCGACAATCGACTTCAAAGCTGGGAAAAATTACAAACTCACTTGCCAAGCGGTATTGAATTCAATTGAGATCGGCAGCCCTGCAACTGTGTTCTGGTCTTTTGCCGATCCTGACAATCATACGACCACTGTGATCGGGAGGCGGATCGTACCAGGCAGGTTCAAAACGATGTATGACCTTGTAGGCGACAACTGTTTCTCCATATCTCAAGAGGGTGCACTTCTTCTGAACATGTACTTTCAAGAAGATGACGTCAGGTACTGGTGTCACGTCTTCCCTGAGAACGAATTGCTAATGAGATCCTACGTGGATGTCCTAATCAAAGGTGAGCATTAAACTTTCGGGTATACCATCTTGCTTCGATTCCTTGACTTCGTCAAATTGCTACACCCTCGCAAATTATTGAGAATTTTGGGAATGTTTTGTTCAAAATAAGATCCCTATCGTTTCTTTTTTCATACAAGCCGGAGTACACAACAGTCAAATTAATATTTATCCTTGTCTTTACCTGGCTGATTAACATGAAGTTGAGTGATTTCTCCTTACTCTCATCAGCTTACATTTTTTTATTTTTTTTGGACATCGTTTGAATACGGAGCTTTTAAAGGGACATAGGTGAAAAAAAAAATTGAAAAAATCATCGTAAGAATGAAAAAAAAATCTGCGTTCGAACGAAAAAAATCTGCGTTCGAACGAAAAAAATCTGCGTTCGAACGAAAAAATCTGCGTTCGAACGAAAAAAATCTGCGTTCGAACGAAAAAAATCTGCGTTCGAACGAAAAAATCTGCGTTCGAACGAAAAAAATCTGCGTTCGAACGAAAAAGCTGTTTGCTGTTTGCTGTAAGCTGTTTGCCCTCCCTGTGCTGCCCCACCACTTATGTGGGTGATTTGGTCACGTTTTTTCAGGTCCAACATGCATGACATATGTGCCCAATGTAGGTCCGTGGCCCAAGTACAGGGATTTCAATAACTGGTCTTAAAGCAGTCTATGAGCTTTCAAACGGTCTTACTAGGGCTTGCTGTTAGTTGGTCATGAAGTTTAACCATTGCAATGAAGATCTAGCTAATTGTCCTTCTTTTTTTAAGAGACCCTATCCTGTTACAATACTAGCTACAACACAACCCCCCCCCCACCCCATCAGTCCCACCCATTATGCTATGCTGAGGCAACACACTTATGAGACATTTTTAAAAGTAATTTGCCTTTTTCGTTTCTTTTTATAAAGTGAGGCAAGTTTTAAAAAAATAATTAAAAAAGGCTATATAATTATCTTTCAAATTTTTCAGGTAAATAAATATAACTGGTCGTCATTGTGATTTTCAGAAATTTGTCTATCCACAAATCCTTTACAGTATAAATGTTCATTCCTAATCCTTGTAATAGTTCCAAACTTTAGAAGCGACTGACATGTATATATTGTTTGATCATTTCTGGCTTTCAATAAGCCTATTTTACTAGTCTAACACTAGTACATGTACATGTACTTTCTGCTTCCTCACTTTCAGATACGGGATTCACTAATTAGCTGATTCCTACTCATACTCATAGCAATCGACAAACATGTCGGGCTATTCTGATAGCCATGGCTAGCCCAACATGTTTTTTGGTGGCCCATGGATAACCAGTTAAATGTGGAGAAACTGTTGCACTTACAAGAGCATGATATGAGTCAGCTCATGATTGATACGTTTTACATGTTTGGTACAACAGTTTTCAGGGCAAAGAATGTTTTGACCCACAAAAATCACCCACATAAGTGGTGGGGCAGCACAGGGAGGGCAAACAGCTTACAGCAAACAGCAAACAGCTTTTTCGTTCGAACGCAGATTTTGTTCGTTCGAACGCAGATTTTGTTCGTTCGAACGCAGATTTTGTTCGTTCGAACGCAGATTTTTTTCGTTCGAACGCAGATTTTTTTTGTTCGAACGCAGATTTTTTTCGTTCGAACGCAGATTTTTTTTCGTTCGAACGCAGATTTTTTTCGTTCGAACGCAGATTTTTTTCGTTCGAATTTGAATGATAAAAAGTAAAAAAAAAAATTGCTTTAAAATACCATTTTGATAACTTTGATATATCACATCTCGTGGTAAACTTAGAGCAAACAACTGATATAGGTCTTATTTCTGTATTTTGCCAAACCTGTTTATTTCCATGTGTTAGACAAAAATATGACAGGGAGGGGCATAATGTGTTCCCCATTCCATTTACACTATAAAATCTGTGTCACACTGACCCGCAATCGGAATTTAAATGCTATATACACAGACTTCCCTTTTTAGGGTAAAAATGCCACTCTTCCTGGTCAAAAATTACATTTTCATTGTTTGTTTTTTTGACCTGCTCATTGTATAAGTAATCATATGCTGAACATTAGGCCGTGAAGCGCACAGTCTAGTTTTCTTAGATTACTTTAATTACTCCCAAGGTTTTAGGTCAAAATATTTCATATTCTACAAGTTCATCACTCGAACATTGCCAATAACCCTGTGAGTGTCCCTTCAAAAAGCTCAAACCATTGACCCTGAAAATCTATATCAAACACTAAAACGGAATTTGTTGTAGCATAACCTTCCGTCCTTATACTATTTACAATGTATTTATTTTTCCCTCGTTTCCATTGTTATCTCTGTGCGTTTTTCCCCCATCTTGTATTGGTTCATAATATGACTTTACTACGTTGGTTTTGTTTGTATTTTTGTGTGTGTTTGACTGTGTCTGTTTTTTGTTCTTGCGATTAAGTTGTATAATTTTTGTCCAGGCTGTCCCACCTACAAGCCTTGGCTGATGTAAAAAGCCTTGCACTCTCCTTTAATTATTGCTCTAATTACTCTTTAATTTCCCTATAATATATATATTATATTAACTATATTTTAATTAATTAGCTTGTAAGTATTATTGTGTTAATGGTGGTACTTTCATTTTCTGTACTTAAATATCACTGTATTATACTTTATATTATCCCACTTTGTATTGGTTCACTGGATAGTTCAAAATAGTTGTTTACTGAATTGAACTGAATGACATTAAAACAACTCATTGTATCGTTTATATCTAGAGCCTCGGCCTCCAGCTGCTGATGATGAGGGACTTCAAAATACCTCCTATATTGTCATCGCAGTGTGTTGCCTCGTGTTGATTGTTGTCGGGGTCTCTGCTGCTCTCTGGATCCGTGTGCGTCTGAAAAGAAGTCGAGAAAATCGTCAACGTACTCGCGCATTCGAGAGAGTTTATTATTTCATTTGACTATTTGAAACTTAAAGATGCATAAAATATGCAAGATTTAGGTATCAGAGGAAAGAAGAGCTTTTAATCTTCCTAAATATAGCAAACTTTAAGAAAAGTGACTACGCGCAGATTTCGCCCTTCTGCGGTCGAGTCAATGCATTTTTTGTACAGTACGCGCAGATTCTGACCCACAGCGCATGCGCCTTGAAATTTGGCCCTTCGTGAAACCGTTTTATTGCACGCGCATGGAATTCGCCCTTTCGTGATATATGCGCCATTGTATTACAATGCATTTATTTTAAAAATGTATTAATACCATAGAGTGCGGAAATTCGCCCCTTCGTGAAAACGCAAAACGAACACGATAATAATCATTTTGACATAGTCACATTTGCGGATTTAGCGGGTTTTGTGCATAAAATTCGGCAGAATTGACAAAAAACGCGAAAAGGATGCGTTTCTCTTAAGAAAAAAGTAAAAAGGTTAGCTTTTATGTTTCAAAACAACAGTTTCAAATAAAATGAACGAAAATACACACACCAAAATCATTATCTTAGTCTTACATTTTACTATAAAAAAGTAATCAATGCGCCTGTTATCAATCTGTCTCCTGCTTTCAGGCATTAAAAGTGTACACGGTCAACAAATACCGAAAAAGCATACAGTTTACTATGTGAAATTAAACAACTTTGTACACAAGTGTACATTACATTTAATTTTCGTGCAATGTTTACGCATTTTTGTGTAAAAAAACTAAAGATCATTATACTTAGGTGAATATATTCAAATTCTGAATTTATTTACTGTACTGGAATAGAAGGATGCAAATTGACAACCCTTCAATCGAATCTCAAAATAGAAGTATGGGAATTAACAGCCCTTCGTTAAATCTAAGAATAGAAGGATGCAAATTGACAACCCTCCTTTCAATCTAAGAATAGAAGAATGCAAATTGACAACCCTTCGTTCAATCTCAGCATCAAAGGATGTGAATTGACAACCCTCCATTCAATGTAAGAATCAATGTAAGAATGGAAGGATGTGAATTGACAACCCTCCCTTCAATGTAAGAATGGAAGAATGTGAATTGATAACCCTCCATTCAATGTAAGAATGGAAGAATGTGAATTGACAATCCTCCATTCAATGTAAGAATGGAAGAATGTGAATTGATAACCCTCCATTCAATGTAAGAATGGAAGAATGTGAATTGACAACCCTCCATTCAATGTAAGAATGGAAGAATGTGAATTGATAACCCTCCATTCAATGTAAGAATGGAAGAATGTGAATTGACAATCCTCCAGTTAGTGTAAGAATGGGAGGATGCGAATTGACTACCCTCCATTCAATGTAAAAATGGAACGATGTGAATTGATAACCCTCCATTCAATGTAAGAATGGAAGGATGTGAATTGACAATCCTCCATTTAGTGTAAGAATGGGAGGATGTGAATTGACAACCCTCCCTTCAATGTAAGAATGGAAGAATGTGAATTGATAACCCTCCATTCAATGTAAGAATGGAAGGATGCGAATTGACAACCCTCCATTCAATGTAAGAATGGAAGGATGTGAATTGACAATCCTCCATTTAGTGTAAGAATGGAAGGATGTGAATTGACAACCTTCCATTCAATGTAAGAATGGAACGATGTGAAATGACATCCCTCCATTCAATGTAAGAATGGAAGGATGTGAATTGACAATCCTCCAGTTAGTATAAGAATGGGAGGATGTGAATTGACAACCCTCCATCCAATGTAAGAATGGAAGGATGCGAATTGACAACCCTCCATTCAATGTAAGAATGGAAGGATGTGAATTGACAAGAATGGAAGGATGCAAATTGACAACCCTCCATTCAATCTAAGAATGGAAGGATGTGAATTGACATCCCTCCATTCAATGTAAGAATGGAAAGATGCGAATTGACAACCCTCCATTCAATGTAATAATGGAAGGATGTGAATTGACAACCCTCCATTCAATGTAAGAATGGAAGGATGTGAATTGACATCCCTCCATTCAATGTAAGAATGGAAGGATGTGAATTGACAACCCTCCATTCAATGTAAGAATGGAAGGATGTGAATTGACAACCCTCCA